CATCGCGACATTGAGAAGTCTCAATACAATCGAAAGCGAAGCGAACCGAGACAAGCAAAGCAAGGAACCCTCCAGCTACAACAGCGTCTATCACTCCGCCAGCCCTTCCGCGAACGGAGGCAAACCCGCCAACAACTGGGAAACCAGCCTGCGGATCCAGAAGCTCGACCTATACGACCTAGGCGGCCACGCAACACCGCCATTCGAAGAACAGCTCATTGAGAAGCCGCGGCTGGGTACCGCATCCCCGGCGCCACATCGAAAGCAGGTGTCCGAAGGGGATGCGGCTCCGACGGAAAAGCCACGGGAGCCGCAGGTGGGAGAGGATGAATTGAGGAAGCGGATTCAGGGATTCGGGCCCAGTACCTAAGATGATGGTGAGATGAGTTGAGGTTAGGACAAGTATTTCGAGTGGCGGTGTATTGATTCGATGAAGTCTCTGCCTCCAAAACAAGTACGTAACGAATCGCCCCGTAGATGACTGTGTGGATTCAGTCGCAGGGTGGACTTTCTTTACGTCTAGACATGGATATCTGTAGAGGTAGAACGGTGGCTGTGCGGAGTTGACAACTCTATCTCCGGTGAGCAGACTTTCTTTCGCGTCTTTGATGTACAGAAATGAGTCCTTTGATAGTAGTCGCAAATGATGCGGGTGCATTGGTGGTGTATATACAAATATTTGAATTCCCACGGGATATATAAACAGAAAAATCGGTAAAACGTACACAAATGAACCATAGTCAGCTCCTCCATCTCTCGAAACCAGACAGGCCTTTCATGCAACCAAACCACTACTCAACAGGCTATTGAGAATTTCTAGCGGCCGATTACTTCAGCGCATTATATAGATTGCTTGTGTAGACCCTGCAATTGTTCGTGACGAGATGGTACTGGCCCATTGCGTCAGCCTTCGTTTGAGCGACCTGCTCGATGTCCGCCAGCGTCTGGTACTTTGCATCAATGGGTCCCATGTTGGCCCAAGTTAAGCCTGCTTTATGCCAAACATCAAAGGCATACTTGCCGAAGACGCACTGATAGTTGTCGTCGTACCTGATTTCATACGATTGGGCAATGTAGTCACGGGTATATATATTCTTCTGGTTGACGGTGTTGCCGCGGCAATCCTTGATTGGTTCCATGGTCAGCTTGACCGAAACAATCCCGACGACAAGGAGGTAGTGATTGGGTATCACGTTTCCTGCCCAAGGGTAAGCTTCACGAATGGCCCAGCCCTGGCCAGTTCTCCAGAACTCGTTGGGTTTTCCGGCCGCCCTAGCGAGGGCCTTGAACGCATCACTGTCACGGTCCTCCCTTTTAGCTTGCACGCCCACCCGCTTCCGCAGTTTGTCGGGCTTTTCGCAAGCGTCGTCGCTTTCTTTGGGCGGGTCATGCTTTTTGGGCGCCGGCAGGTCTTTGTCTGTTGATGTGGGCTTGTTGATGTCGAGGGTGTGTTCTTTTCCAAAAACTTTAAACTCGGCTTTGCCTTCTTTTTCAATGCCCTTGACGCAGCCTTCGATGATGGCTGGCGTGGCTGCGACCTCTATGGCATCCGCGATCTCGCCGGCGATTGGGATCAGGTCTTCTAGCAACTCAAGTGGCGCCAGCAGAGCAGGGACGGCGATACGACAGAAGGCTTTGGCGGCTATGTCAAGGGCTGCTTGAGCAGCTGCTGCTTCTGCTGCTTCCTTTGCAAAATTACCAGCATCCTGCTCCAGCTGATCTTTCGTAAGCGAGGGTTTGAACCCGGCGCAGCAGTAACTCTGCAGCCCACCGTTACAGGTTTGGCTCTTCTTTTTCGAGTCGTGGTTGTTCGTGTTTTGGCTGACTTCCGTCTCACCATCCTTGCAGCCGCTAACACAGGGTAATCCAACACCTTTCCACCCACGCCATTGGCATTTGCCGGTTTGTGTTCCGTCAAGGCAGCAAAGCGTCTGGTATTGTTTCTTGGGACAGCGATCTGTGGTACTCAACTGACCGGGTTGTCCGTTCATCTGTGTAACAGCATTCGTACCAGGAGGACAGCCAGCACCGCACGCAGAGGCTTTGCATGTAAGCCCTGCCAGCTGGTCGGCGGACATTTGATTTGCGTTGCTCTGCTGCGGAGGAGTCACGGAGACTGTCGAGGCAGGACCAAGCCCATTAGGTTTTGTTTGATCAACCTGATCCATGGCCCAGACCATGAGTCCGCCCAAGCATCGGCTATTTGCAAAGTCTTTCTTCTGCTTGAACGTGTCGTCGTCGTCGTATGAGACCCATTGGTCGCTGTCCCAGGTGATCCATTTGACGGCCGCTGTCTCATCGTGGACAGGCTTGACGTTGTTTTTAGTGATGATGTCGTCGATTTCTTCCAAATCAAGTATGCCTGCGGCATTGGAACACGGTCCGGCTTTGGCACCTCCAGAAAACTCGCAGATGCCATTGGGTTTGTTGCAGGAAGGATCTTTGAGGGTGAAACTTCGGCCATACCAACCTTGTCCCATGACCACCTTAGCAGGATCTACTCCAGAGCGCCAGAGCAAGTCCAAGCCGAGGTCAATTTCAGTAATGTTCGTATGTGGCGCAATGTACGGCCCAACGAACTTGGACTGTGCGTCCCATACACCATGCAAGTCGTAAGCCATCAAGTTGAACCAATCAACGGATTTCTGTATGCCCAGTAGATCAAAATGCTGTAGGTACCAGTAAGAAGTGGGAAGCGTCATGGAAATGCCATATTTCGTTCCGAACGCTGCTCTCAGCTCGGCAGCGAGAGAGACATAGTTGGCTGTATCTTGCGATTTGCCGCCACGGTCATCGGCTCCTGGGTATTCCCAGTCCAAGTCCACCCCATCAAAACCGTATGTGTCCATGAACTTGATCAGACCGCTGATGAATTTCTGACGGTTTCCCGAAGTGCTGGTCATCTCGGAGAAAGCGGTCTGCGTTGGACCTGGATCGGTAAAAGACCATCCTCCCACAGAGATCCAGGTCTGCAGCGATGGTTTCTTGCTCTTCAAGGCAGTGAAACGACTGTAGAGAGACGCACCATTCGAGTCCATCGGGGCAATCTGGAAGCTTGAGGGGTCAAAGAATGAAAACGCGAAGTTCATATGGGTGAAACCATCGAGGTTGAGGTCCTCAGGGGCGACTTTTTGACATTTGCGGGAGTCTGAATTCGCCCAGGACTCGTAATAGCCAATACTACGTTTGTCCACGCTGCTACCTCCTCCACAGCTGGGCCTATGAACATCGCCACATCCACCATATTTGGTGTCACATGTTGGATACAATGGATCATCCTTGTTTTTCCAGGCACAGAATTCCTTGGTGGATCCGCAGTAACCGAACTCGGAGCAGCAAACATTGAGAGGGCATTTTTGCTGACCGGCAGCGGCGTAAGGTCCACACTGAGCTTTTGCTTCGCCTGGAGAATCAATGTTAGTGTGATAAGGCAACCCAGAGTCTTGGTACTTACAATTATGCTGGCATCCACTTCCACAAAAATCCTTGGAGTATCCGCACAGATTGGTCTTACTGCAGCAAGCGCCGTTGGCGCAAGGGGTCCCAGAATTGCAAGTGCCAATTGGTAAATCTCGAGCCGCCAATGGGACATTGGTCAAGCGAGGATTCAACGACTGTCCGTTGGAGCGTTCATGCGAAGGATGCTCTTTCGAGATTGTGGCAGCGCTCAAAGAAGCCAAAGCGGCAACCGCTGCCGCAAGTTTGCTAAAATGCATGACGACCAGGGAATGTATCGAAATTTGAAAGGAGAGGACGCTATATCAAAGACGTGTAGCCTGGCGTACACAGGTCGATATAGCAAAAGACTGAGGAAAGACACGAGAAAGATGCGCAAGAATGGATGAACAAGATAACTGACAACAGAATGGAGACGATCTATACGCGAAGAAATACCTTATTGGGCACTGAGGTTTTATCCATTGGAATTCTCCTCAAGGGTTACTGACAAGAGGCTCCAAAAGTACATGAGTTATTCTGAGGCAGTCCTGCGGGAGGAGGTCCCTGCGCCATGTCGGTGCCTGCTACCTGCTTCCCATCATCATTTCACAAATTTGTTGATTGTTTCAGCCACGAGACGGATAGTTCCGCTCGTGGTAAATGGCAAGTTAGAGATCAAGAAGGATTTCGAATGGTCCAGCCCAGACGGCGTAGGTGTGATTGATGGCCTTGAGATGCACACCCAAGGCTGAGTCGAAAACGGAAAAGAAGTATTCTCAGCTATGGTACCTTAGAATGTATGGACGAGGGAAGAGAGAAAAGGGCGGAGCTTAGAGGCTGAGACGCGCGCAAATCCTTCCACCTTACTACTTCCGGGCTAGCTTCAGCCAGCCGCTGCCGGTGATGGAAATCCTCACCATGTTTTACACGGACTTGGACCTTAGATACTAATGATAGACACCTGCTTCTCAGTGGCGTATACACGCATGAAACAATCATGCTGCAGTGAGGTGGACTGCGAATATCTCTCAGTCTTCCAATGGAAACTAAATCAATCTTAGTCGCTACGATGCTTCAGGAGCTGATAAGCCAAGACTGTGTGATATGGCCTACGGTCCTCCAAGTTTCATCCCTCAGCCACTGCTAGGAGGCTCGTGTGATCCTGCACAAAGGCACATGAGGACAAGTCCAGCTTGTCTAGACTACAGGTCCATATTCCCAGGGTTGCAAATCCTCATGCGAAGAGCAGGCATTATTAGGGTCATGGTATTTCATATTAGTACGTGAGCTGTAAACAAATAAACATCATCCCCTTCTCGCTCTCGAGCCTTCTAACAGATTTTTTTCGTGTCGCATTTTTCTCTCCAGTCTGTCAAATCTTCTTTGTCCCAGCTCTTTTCTTCGTCACACATCGCACTCCAGCCATTGCCAGTCTCTATATTCGTTTTAGTCTGTTGAGCAGTACAGAACATATCGTTTCGTGATTTTTGTTATCCAGAAAAGTATCAAAGTCACTTGGCCTCTTCAAGTCAGCCAGGAACTGCTTTCTTATCCCCTTCAAGATGCTTGACAACATTCCATACACCAGGTTTTTAGTGTTCACCTCCTATGCGGCGGCATTCAGCCTCTACCCCACTGTAAACCCGGACAGTCTTGCCAAATCCTTCGGCATCAGCGTCGGTTGCTTGGATGCCCTCAACGAAACGGTCGCATGTGATCAGACATTGTTCCAAATGTCAAACACAGTTGACAGCTATCTTTGGACCACGGAGAATGTCACAGGTCTTTGCACTGCAGATTGCATCCAGTCATCCCAAAAATGGTGGTTGGATGTGCAAGATAGATGCGATATGGATACCATTACAGCGTATGGCAAATTGATACCAGCGGAGTCTATCGCGGGAAGATTCTTCGACGGCTTAAACATTGCATGTCTAAGATCTGGAACCATTCCCACTGCCCCAGGAGTCGCTGGTAATGGTAGCTCGAACTCCACCGGCTCAGCTCCCTACTCAAACTCTAGCGCAAGTTTCACCGGCTCAGGTCCGTACTTGAATTCGAGCTCAAAGTCCAATCCAAACTCTAGCGCATTATCCTGGTGCCTCATTGAGTCCCAGGGCTGGGTTGGCTCCGACATCATTCGTCCCGACTGTTCTACCGACCCCACAGACCCGTCGTGCTCAGATCCCACTGATGTGGCCCCACAGAACGAACGTATTGCAAATTTGTATGGCAATGATATGGTAAGCATTGTCCATTGCGTCCGTAATCAGTTGCACAAAGACACTAATGTTTCGTGAAGCTTTGCAGTGATTGCTTCTTAAGGATGTTCTACCAAAGGATGTCGTCGCCGTATCTGCCTGACTCCGACTACTCGGACTATCTCGTGGCACAATATCAAGACATTCTCGATGTTTGTAGGATTTCCATGCCTGAGCTTATGGTTCGCGCTCTTCCCTACTACGAGGACGCCCCGGGACTTTACGACGGTGTGCCCTTATCCTCCGACAACTCTCTCATGTAAGTTGGCCATCCTTCGCTTCTACTCTTGAGGTGATGCATTCATCTTGCATCGGAAAAGCAGTCTTAAGTTCGGAAATATTAATTTATAACGACAGGCCTCCATTCACGTCAAATGGCAGCCAATTTTCGAATGGTACAAATAGCACCACCACGTGCTCAGGTCAAAGCATTTGCGCAGCTGACCTGAAAGGTACAAACATCCCAGCCAATGGGACATGGTGCAATGCGCTGTCGGCCAAGTACAGTGTGGCCACTGGCGATCTTCAAGCTGCCATAGGAGATCCAGGCTGCGTCTTCTTAGTTTCGTCATACTGCGTGCCTGCAGCATGTACACTCATGAAAGTCCCTTTTGGTGCGAGTTGGTAAGCAAGCTTCATCTCCGTTGCTGTTATGCGTAACAGTAGATACTGACCGCCAGTTTTAGCGATTCGATTGCCAGCTCACTCTCGACAGCCGGGCTCAACACCAGCCCCGTTAGTACTGTACAGTTCAGAAACTGGAATCCAAACATCAACGGCCTCTGTGACAACCTCAATACAGGCGACTACGTTTGCACCAGCGCGCCTGGCGGTTCTTACGTTCCACCTCCCGTCTCAAACACAAACTCAAACGCTAGCGCACTGCAACGTGGAGGAGGCGATGGGAGTGACACAGGGGCGCCCAGTAACCCAACTGCTCCTTTCAGCAATTCAACTCTTCCGACCAACACAGTTGTATCGCCATCATCAGGCTCATCCGGCAGCGGGTCCGCGGCACCTTCACCAACACAGAAAGGCATCTCAGCCTCCTGCGCTAAGTACAGCCAGGCTAAGAAAGGCGATTACTGCTCGACATTTGCACAAGAGCACAACATCGCCTCAGCTCAATTTTACGCCCTAAACAGCGCCTTAGGAGACGCAGGCAAAAGTTGCGACGCGGCCTTTTGGTCAGGCTATTATTACTGCGTGGGCTCTAGTGATGCTTCCGCAGCCGGTGGCAACAATCCTACCTCCGTCACTACCGCTTTGTCCGCCATCGATGCCGCTCCCGTTACCACTACCACCACCAGTGACTCCGCTCCTACACCAGCCACTGGCGGTGACCCAGCAACTCCCTCTCCTACGCAGTCGGGCATCGCCTCGCCGTGCGCTAAATACGCCCAAGCCCACGCTGGGGACACATGCTCGTCGTTTGCTACGGCAAATCAGATCACGCCCGCGGATCTCTACAGCCGGAACGGCGCACTCGGGGAAAACGGCGAGAACTGTGAGACGAAGTTTTGGGCAGGTTACTTTTATTGCGTGGGAGGGACTGATTAGTTGATGAATGAACAGGTATATACGTTGCAGGCTGGGATCACCGTTCGTGGATCTTGGGGAGCTTGCGCGGTATTTCAGCTTTTGTAGATCCTGCGGTTTGAATCTCATACGAATCTGCCTTAGCTTCCTCAACTTTGAGGATTCTGCGGTAAATACCTGATTCATTTCTATAATCTAAGAGAGATCACTGAAGTCGACGCCGGCGCGTTCTTGGGAAACTGTAAAGACATCGTAACTGAGTACGATTATAGATTGCTATTGTGAGCTCAAAAGGAAACAGAATATGAAAGCAACCGAGGCACAGGCGTGTTTCTTTCAGTAAATGTATAGATAGCCGAAAAGTTGCTGTAGCGTAGAAAATGCGAGAGTGCAAGATCGTTTGGTAGTATATGCAGAGGGTTGGCGTCGAAGGACATTCTTCGCGGAAAACCTCCCATAAGAGCACCCCGAAATCAAACCGTCGTACACCTGTGACCTTGACATTAACGACGGCACACTACCATTGTCTCCTCTATCTTAAGAGCAACCGCGTGGTGCTGAGGTTAGGGGTAGCTTCGCGTCGCGCGCCAAGACACTAGCGTGATATTGGTGTGTGCGATTTTCTCAGTGCCAAGTATTCCAACGTTTTCTGCGGAAGCTTCTAAACCTCAGCCAACGCTAGTGTACAGTACCGGAGAGCCATTAGGCCGACCTAGCCACATTCCCCTAATTAGTAAGAGATTGCAGTAGTAAATAGGGGACACGTCCTGGCTAATCTTACCGTCTTCCCTATACCTCGCCTACCCCTCTTACACCTCGCTATCGTTAAATATTCGTATATATTATTTCTAATAACCTTAATATCGTATCCTCGCTTTATACGCTAGCCTTTATAATATAGAGGCTTTAAGGATATCTAGAAGAAGCTCGATTAATATAATAGCAACCTCGAGAATATTAATTCTAATCGTATTCGAATTTTTACTACTTAAGAAAGAAGATAGTAATCTTAGCAATAGCGAGTGAAGTAGATTTATCTATTCTAACGCGTTTAAATTACTATCGTCCTTCTTAAAGCTCTTTATCTTCTTAGACGAGTTAAAAAAATAATTTTAAAAGAATAATAAGCGTAGTAAGTTTATTCTAGTAATATTCTCGAAGCTAACGTTAATAATATTAAAGTTATTCTCTTATATCTTAAAGACGCGTTAAGTTACTTTCTCGTTAGAATAATATAAGAGAGCGAGTTTTCGCTTAGTAAGTAGCTATATTACGTTAAATAATAAGCTTTATTTAATAATAGAATATCTAAGAGACCCTGAAGAAGCTCGCTAATGATGGGTATAATATAGTTAGATTAGAGATATCTTTAAGATAATATTATATAGAGAATATAAAGTAGATAGCTCTCTAATAAAATCTTTAATAAAACTCTTAATTAAACTCCTTTATAGCGATAGCGAGATATCTCTAAATCCTCTATAGTAGACTACTAACTTTATTATATCTTCTATATAAATTTCGTCTTAATAGATAGTAATATAAGCGAACTGCGATGGCTAGCCTAAAAGCCTTTCTCGCTTTATTCCTCGCTCTATTATAAGTAATAGCGAGGTCGCTGACGACGATAACGATGTCTCCGCGACTTATTTTGATATGGCGCTTATATAAATATAGCGTAGCCACCCTGAAACTATGCTAACGGTATTTTATTTAGCATTGGCTGACACGCTAATACTTGCACGATTGCTCCCATCCTTCACCATTACTTAAGGTAAGCACCCTTCTGGACTCAAGTCAGGAAATGCTCACCTTGATGGACTGATACCTCAAATCCACAGTTCTATTCCCCAATTACCATCCAGTCTCCGCCATCAACGCGTCATGCTCCACGGCCACGATGTCCTCCACCTCTCAGACCCCATCCAATTGCCCCTTCCTTCTCCTCCCTCTCGAGCTCCGCGACCGCATCTACACGCAACTTCTCAGCATAAAACACACCCGAACGCCCAAAGATGACGAATCCTGTCTGCGCTCCACCACTTTCTACAATTGGAACCTCCACCCTACTATTTTCCGCGTCAATCGCCAGATCAGCCAAGAAGCCATGGCGGTCATGGCGCGCGAGAATGAATTCGTGGTCATTGAGCGCGCGAAAGAGCTGGAGCAGGGACCAGAAGATGTGAATAAGGAAGATACCACGATAATGGTGTACAGTGTCGCGCTCTGGCCTGGCAAGGCGACCAAGAAGCCTGTTGTTCCTGGGGAGAGGATGCGGATGAAGTTAGAGAGAGCTGAGGACTCAGAGATGGATATGGATGTACATGTGATACTCGCCGAGGAATTACACGACGTATGTGTCGGGCTCTCCACATTCCAAGACCCCAAAGGAAAATACCGCACGTCAGGCCTCTCTTGCTCCATCCAAGTTCATCCACCACCATACGCCGAAACCCCCACGGCCATAGACATTCGAGAACGCGCCCTAGTCGAAGCCCTAACAAAGTTCCGTCATTTTAAAGACGTTTCTATCCAAGGGACACGGCCAGCCATTGACCACCAGATCTCCCGCCAGCTCACACGTCATAGTTTCGACCGGGGTCTCGTGCTGGTCACCATCGACGAACTGATCACCAGTGGCGACCAGGCCTCCTCAAACGGCGACCATGGCATCGCAACAGCCCGCTACCAACGCGCTCACGAATACTTCCACCACAGCGTATCTCACGAGCGCCACGTCTTCACGAACCCAGCCGACGTCTCAGCATTCGAATTTAAAATAATGCAACACCGAGCTCTGAACTGGATCGAAGCCGGCAACTTCTCCGACGCGCTAGAAGCCGCACAGATAGCGCTCTACGTCGCGAACCAGCTCTTCCGACTCAACGCGCCCATGAGCACCGGCCCGCCCACCCGTTCTGGCAGTCGCATCAGCGCTGGAGCTGCCCGGAAACAGACGTGCGATTGTATCAAGGAGGGCGCGGCGCGATACCGACAGCGAATCAAAGCTGAGGATATTGGGCGCTGTTATTTCTATAAGAGCATATCAGAGCACGTGGTCCATGGGGATGGAGCGACGCAGCAGGCGGACGATGACAAATTTACTGCGATTGGGTGCTGTGTGGTATCCGAAACGATGACGGAGAATGTGCCGACGGAGCTTTTGCAGTTGGAGATTCGGACGATGGAGAAGTTGCTGGGGGGAGGTGGGGAGGAAGTGGAAGAAGAGGAGGGGGACGAGGAGGGGTGGGTGGATGAAGAGTGGGAGGATGACGAGGGCGAGAATGATGATGAGGAGTAGAAGAGCGGATCTATACAATTCCAAAATATCCTATATCTCCGCCCTCAGCGTCCTAATTCACTGCGCCGAACTACCTCTACTATGCCCCAGCTACTTGCTAAAGTACGGCATCTGTGCGCATGTTCAGTCTACTACAGTGATTCTGAACACTCTCGTGGGTCTACAGCTGAGCCGTATGACTGGCAGACTTGGTTTGGGCTCTGGGAGATCCTGGCAACGCTTATGCCTGGGCTGAAGAAGCTGAAGCTGAAGATGGAGTATACGGGGCGCAAGGAAGAAGTTGGGGTAGAGCAAGGATGGGTAGAATTTATGGTTGGAGTCAAACATGTCAAGATATGATGGAAGAATTTGTGTTCTGGACATGCCCGTGGGCAGGGCACAGGTATGAGGACGTGGAGAGAGGGTGGAAGCAGTATGGTTACAAGAAGGAAAAAGGTCTAGCGAGGACTGAGATAACAGGGTGTTCGGTTTCGCCTTGGCCTCGTGAGCCAAGACCGCTGAGCCTCAGACGCTACTTGGTACAATCCTAGTGTGGAAAGTGCTGGGATGCTAAGGACAAGACCAAGAAATCCCGCCTGTCCATGACCGCATGCCATAAGGAACTGTGGGGAAATGGCAAGTCTCCCAACATGCTCTCTTAACCGTGATGGCAATCCCCTGATAATCTCCTTGATTCTGGTACTCCCTCATCCCTTAGGGATGGGTTCTTCCTATTGGGACCTTAGGTATTGTCTGATCTATGGTGTACCAGTACTTTGGCCGATCCCGCCTGAATGGTCGGGCCAGATCATCCGAATGTAGATTTGATGCCGAGGAAGATCTCATATCCGGCAAGATTGCCTTCTCTGCGCATAACTGTAGGCTACATGATCCATCATCGGAGGATCCGTATTCATGTATCTTTCTTCGACTTCCTGAACCCTGCGCGCCGCTATCCTAGCCATGGTAGCACTATCCCATGCCCCATCCCGCCACGGCGACGACGACAGCAGAGCGATTGCTTCTCGGCAGACCCCCAAGTTCTGACACTTGATCGCGGTGAGATACAAAGGCCGGATCATACCCACGTCGAATGTGAAAATGGGTACTGGATTGATTCCAACATCGTTCACGGCAACGGTGTGCTGGACTCCAAGCTTCCCCACATCATCCGTTGGTCCGAGCACGGATTTCGCCAGGGTGACTATTTGGCGGAATTCGGGCTCGCGGTCTGCATAAATCTGCTCGTCAGACGGTTGTAAGCAAGCTGTGAGTACCATCAAAATTGTTTCATAATTCATCCTCATGATAGCAATCCGTTGCGACATCTCGGTGTTGATCTCTCCTTGAAGCTTCGCGGTGAGAGCTTCAAGTGAAACTCGCCATTGCTTCAGTTGTACTATAAGCTTCTCTCTCTTTGCGTGCATTGCCGGTGGTACTTGATCTGGGGACTCTAATCGGACGTAAGCATCACAGAGGGGTCGGAAATGATCTGTGGAGTCGATTTGATGAGCCAACGACTCTGCCGCTTCCTCCAGGGTAGAAAACAGATCTAAATGTGTTGGGGCATCGCCAGGACCATCGGGCGGGATCATGATGGGAGCTTGAAAGGTTTTTGATCCTAGCCATACGGTCGCTTGCATATCCAAATTGCCGAAAATCCTCAGAATCTCATATCTCAAGGGATCCTGGTCGGGCGAGACTGTCTGAAGCCCCGTAGACACCGATCCATGATCTCGCCGCAAGATGTTGAGACCGCTTCGGAGGTGAATGAGGGATCCGCAATCGTTACCTTGCAAGAACTCGAAGATTGTGAATAGGAAACTTAGTATTATTGCCAGATTGCCCGAACCTTCAAGGTCGTTGGATATGCGCTCCCGGAGATGCTTTAGGGCTTTGTAATACTGCAAATGAGCGAAGTTATGACAGGCATTTGCTTGCTCATTTTCTAGGGTCAGGAGGTCATTAATCGCCAACCTTTCTCCAATCGAGCCAAGAGCAATGACAGCAGACCGCATCGCTTCGTCACGGTGGCTGGCCTGTAGGGTAAGCTGGTGTATCAGCGTTATGTCTAGGGCGGTCGAGAGCTGCTGTCCTGTTTGGTAGTAGAAGAAAGCGAAGCTGCGGCGCTCTTGGTTCGTTCCGGTAATGCTGATAGTTGGGCCTGATTGTATCGAGAGTGCTTTGATTGTGGCCTCTACGGGAAACAAGTGGGCACTGTTGTTAACCGGAGACTTGGAAGTGCTCTGTTTGATTCCGTAACCATCGCAGACACGGCCAGTGGAGCGGCATTTGCTACAGGTAGGCCTTTCCTCGTCGCACTTGACGTGTCGGATTCTGTCGAGGCAAGGAGTCAGCGAGGCTACGGCTGCACGCTGGTTATCTGGCCGCCCAACTCAAGTAACACGAAGGGCAAGGTAGGAGATGCGTGGCAAGACGAGTACGAGTTACGAGTTACCGGGCCGTCACTGAGAATCAGGCCAGAGAAAAGACACGGAGCCCGTGAATGGTTGTGCGTTGGTCGGCAGGGCGCGAATGCATGTTGCCATCGTGGCGGCAGGAAGGAACTGACTCACTTGCAAGTCTTGCATCCAGTCTTCACGTGGTATCCTCCAGCCCTCGGTTTCTTAACGATTGCGGATGTCATAGCTGAGAGGCACACAGAGAAACTTGGTCTGGTCTCGTAAGTCGTAACTCGTCTCGCAATGTAACAGATCCATTAGTGAAAGATTGGCTGCAATGGAGAGAATAAGTATATGTGCCTTGAGTCTGATTCTGATTCAGGAAGATGTGCTGCGCCTCGCCGTCTCACTAGCATTGCTAGCCTTCATTTTATCTGATGTGATTGGTCGCTTCGTGACTCGCTTAACTAGCTCAGTCCAGCGGTGAACTTGAATGATGTCTCCGAGCCTAGTGGTGATTTTTGGAGAGCTATTATCAACAAACAATTCATAGACTGTCACAAATCTGCGCCTCGGGTTGGCATAAGCTGTAATATTCTTCACTACCATACGCGTTCACTGCGGTGCCAGTGTATCAGAAGCCGGGACCTCTGGAATCTGCCATGCAGTCCATTCTCAACGGCTGCGTTCGTGTTCAAGGCTTCATACTTCTGCCAAAGCATAGCTTCAGGTGCCCATGAGTCCAATTACGTCCTTGCCTTGAAGGTGTCTCTATTCTCTATGCAGTGAGGACCCAATCAATTTTTCTTCTCCCATTTTCCGGGACTGCCTATCGTCCATCTCCCTAGCGTTACCCGTCTGCTTTCTGCTCTTGTAACACCAGCTTCTGGAGCGCGAAGCATTCTCTGCCTCCATTTGCCAATGGCGTTCTACCACTTGGGAGCTGTCACCTGCAGCCACAATGTCTGCGGAACAGGCTGCCTACCCGAATGCAACGCTTATCAACAATGTCAACCTCTCCACCGTTCAGACTCGTCCACTTGCTTGGGCAACAGTCGACTATATCCCTTCTCTCGCTGGCAATCCATTCTACCTCGCAGTCCCCTACGCTGTACTTGTTATACAAAGCATCCTCGGAATCCACTACCGGTCCTTAGTGGCACTGTTCCTTGGCGTACTCGGCGAGATCGTTGGCTATGTCGCACAAGTCCAGATGGCACAGAACCCCTTCCTCAGAACCCCGTTCCTCATGTGAGTATCTTTTTCCTAACGCCTCCCAAACATCCTCCCTCCTAAACAGCTACATCCTCTAGGTACATCGCCTGCCTGACTCTCGCCCCCGCTTTCCTCACCGCAGGCATCTACCTCTGCCTCTCCCGCATCACCTTCGGCTACGGCGAACATCTAGCACGCTTTGCACCGCGTACCTACGCCATCATCTTCATCACGTCAGATATCCTTGCCCTGGTCTTGCAGGCTGTCGGTGGCGCTCTGGCCGATACGGCCGGTACGCCCAAAGAGACACAAACCGGAGTCAACATCATGTCGCGAGCCAATCCCGCCAAGTGCTCTCGCTCTTCTGCTTCATGTCGCTGTGCGCGGACTTTGCGGTATAGGTGCGTTGTCAAGTCGGCGCTACGGCTAGGGACATGTCGGGCTCAACGATCCATTGCTCTGCTCGGCGCTTCCACGCTTTATTGTTCGGTACGTACGCTCTACCCCCTACTTCCCTCCCGACCTTCTCCATCACCCCTCCACTCCCACCGTCTGCAAGTTCCTCCCATCCGCTGACTACCACCCCCACCGTTCCCCCCCCTGGCAGCCATCGCTCTCGCAACCTTGAACATCTTCATCCGCTCCTGTTTCCGCGTCGCCGAATTGCATGCCGGCTTTGAAGGAAGTCTGGCGAATGATCAGTCCGCTTTTATGGTGCTGGGGGGGGGGCGCATGGTCGTGGTTGTCGAGGTCGCGTTGACGGTTGCGGATCCGGGGGCGGTCTTCGAGGGGGCGTGGGAGGGGAAGGAGATGCGGCTGGAGGGGAGGTGCGGTGGGGAGGGAAGGAGAGGGGAGGTGGAGGATTGGGAGATGCGTGTTGAGGATGTTGGGATAGGGGATAGGGTGGTATTGTATATATGAGAGGGATCTAAATCGTTGATGCTTGTGGGAGGATGCCGTGTTATAGCGTTGTGGTTCAGGAAATGAAGGTGGGTGGATGATTCGTCTAGAACGCTGCCTAAGCAGCATTGTCGTCACCGAACATGATCTTCACGAACCAGATGAGGATCTTTTCTTTACTTGATACCGTGAGTTTCTTGGCATAGACCTGCTTTACGAGCGAGGGCATGTAAAGCGTAGATTTGTGATGGACCAAGCCTCTAAGCCACGATGCCACGATACCATCGCTTGCCAAGTCTCTGCACTGTTTAATGTTCATTGGAGCCTATAAGAGGGATATTTGACACCAACCGGCCTTCAACGATATCATCCCGGACGTCAGTGGCGAAAGACACGGCCAATCCGACGAATGGAACCCAGTATGGGATTGAGCTGGCCCTTTTTGGGGGCTCTCCATCTGGGTCTGAGATATGGCATTTTATATGCCGGTCGAGAAGCTGGTAAATATCCGAATAGAAGCACATGTAGCAAGCGATGACTGGAAGGGCGAGACGGTCTGAGAAAGGAGTGTGGAGTATCGGAAATAAGAAACACAGAGGGCGTCATAATGAAATGTGGTCTTGACAGAGGCAGCTAAAGGCTTCGGCCTCTTTGTCTTTGGCACACGCAGATACAAAAGTAGGCACAGCATTGAACGGGCAAGATAGGGCGAAGACTGGATTTAGCTGTGGCATTTTGGCTGTGCGGGATCTTTTGGAGCTTTGTGCCTACAAGGGTGTTAAAGATTTTTACAATATCCGTCACTTTACGTTGTAAGATCTGACTACTACTGATATCATAAAGTGCGGTGTGCGCATTTGCAGGCACAAGATAAACTCGGCACAGCCTCCCTTTCATCTCGCAACCTATGCTAATTTAAGTTGATTTAGTAGACGCAGCGGTCCGCCACGAATGAAGCCTAAGGTACTATGAATTACTTTAGTACTCTGTAAGTGGGTTAGGTAACGTAGTACACCGGGCGGGAACCCTGCACCCTGCACCCTGCACCCTGCACCCTGCATCCCGCACCTCAGGGTAAGGTCAAGATGGACGCGAGACTTGTCAGCACGTAATAGATATAGACTGTCACATATAAGAAATGACCAGCAATGCCTTTAGACGTCGCGCCATGATCCTGAAACGGTCTCTAGAATAGCTTCGGAACCCCGTGATTGCAGTGAATGCGACTGCGACTGCGACTACACCTGAGCTTGGGCTATGACTTTGCCCATGCCTGTACTATCCGATACAGTAGATTGGATGAGTATCTCTTTCTCTAATCCTACGCCCCTCCTTCCCACCCGCCAATGTCTCAAACGCATCTAGAACCGAGTTGAATAAAGCCATTTCTATGCCTGGATTGTGTTGACATAATAATAAGATCCGATCCTGCAGCTTTTCCTCTTGACAAATCTTGTTTACCCTCGTTCACCTTACACATCCACGAAGCTTCACGAGGCGTTTGGTTCAACTCTCAAGCTTCCTGTTTGTTTTCCCCTGCCTGCATTGGAGGCACCGCAAGCACTCACTGAACCTCATTCGGCTTCCGTTCTCTTCCACCACAATGGGTCAACCGAATCCGCCAACATCACGGGCACAGCAATCATCAATTATGCTCTTCAAAACCCCAACAATGACACCGCGGTCGGCATGGCTAAAAAGTACTGTTCCCTTGGATGCACACCAGCCTGTCCGGAATCCTGGCAGACCATCTTCTACCGACCCAGTGTTGGCGGCAACTCTGTCTACATGAACATCTTCCTGCTGATCTTGATCGCCCAAATCTTCTTCGGAGTTCGACATCGAACTTGGACTTGGACTTTCCTTGGTGGGATGGTGCCAGGCTTGCTGGGGGAGATTATCGGTTACTTGGGGAGGATCTTGTTGTGGCACAATCCGTACAGCATGAACTTCTTTTTGACGTAAGTTGATCTTTCCAAGTCTCCACTTTGTCTTTAGTACAAGGCCATTCCATTTTGCTGGGAAGCCTTCAGCTGACTTCTCATTACAGCTACCTCATCTGCCTCACCATCGCACCCGCGTTTCTTACGGCCTCAATCTATCTCTGCCTCTCACGTATCGTTACAGTCTATGGTCCCCAGCACTCTAGACTGGCTCCACGCTCCTACACCTACATTTTTATCGGTTGTGATCTCTTCGCACTCATCTTACAAGGTGCAGGCGGAGGCATAGCATCGACAGCCAGATCTCACGCAGGATCGGCCAGTGGAGCTCACGTTATGGTTGCTGGCCTAGCCTGGCAGGTTGTGTCCATGACGCTGTTCATGGCGCTGTGGGCCGATTTTGCGATTAGAGTGCATAAGGCGAGGGTTCAAGGATATCTGAAGAACAGCCAAAGTGATGATTTTGCGGTGCTGAGGGATTCAAAGAAGTTCAGGCTTCTACAAGTTGGTGAGAGCTATCCTGCCGGTGGCAAATGTCATCAGCTTGCTTCACCGATGAGCAAAGGAGCCACAAAGAACACGGCTGACACACCATTGTAGCTATCGCTCTTGCGACCGTCATGATCTATATCCGCTCCATCTACCGTATTGCCGAGCTTCAAGGAGGATTCTCGGGTGAGATTGCCAACAACCAGGCTTCGTTCATGATTTTTGAGGGCCCGATGATCATCATCGCTGTCACAGCTTTGACAGTCTTCCACCCAGGCGGGGTGTTCGGCAACCTATGGAAAGCGAGTGGCCATGGCAACAGGGGTGCCGCAAAGTACCCAAAGAGTGTAGCTATCATGCTGGACGGCGATAACGAGGAGTTGACCCAGAGGGAGAGGAAGAACGGCTTCCAAGTCCGAGAGAGGGGTCCTCCATTCTGAGCCGGCAATGTTAGTGACTAGGTTCGAGCGGCTTCTGTTCAGAATGTTTTCGTGCGAACTGCAAGCAAGATGTGTGTGCATCAATTGCAGGGGAGATGTCACGGTTCCAACATACATGGCCGCGTGCTTATTCTCAGTCGAGGTAGTTGATCTCGACACAGATATTCTGCAATCATTCTTGTTGATACTATCAAAAGTTGTGCATTTGAAAGCTACATAGAAAGCTAACGCCAGGATCATTTCCTGAAACTGATATTTAAATTACATTTTCATACCAGTTACGTAAATTACTGTATTCTCCATTCAGGCTGGATTTTCCAGCACCAACAGCGTGCGCATTTTTTATACCGCCGAGGGAGGTACCGCTCGCCCCGCAACTAGAACCCTCCAAGCTCCCGATGTCTGACAACACAGTCTTCACTCTCCTAGTAATCCGGTCGGGGCTGCCCATCTTCCCCTCTGAGCGCTGACCTGCCATTTGCTCTCACTCAGCTCTTGTATGGTTTCAAGCCAAGCTGGAACCGATGGGTTTAGCATTTTCTCGGATGGCGAGAAATGTGCGCGGCGGTTCCCTCGCATCCCCGCCTTGTACCTTTCGAAGGCATTTTTCAAGGCCGCACACGCCTAGCGAAAACAGCTTTCACCTGACACCCAACAGCAGCAATCAAATTGAACGTGCCACGCCAGCAACCCCTCCCTCCTCTTTAACTCAGAATATATAGAATGGCGCCTCTTCTGCGGGATGAAGCACCTCTGCCCACTCACCCAAAGCCTCCAGACGCTCATGTCCGAGCAGTTCCTTCTTACTCTGATGACATGGAGCAAGTATGGACCTGAAATGAAACCCAACCTACCCTTGTGTACGAGTGCACTCACGTATTGATCAAGAAACAAGTAGATGTACAGCCATATGCAACCGCTGTATGTGCACATGACGCTACCTTCGGCTTTCAACCAACTCGATGACCAGTCCCCTCGCTTAGTCCATCTTCTGGTGGATTGAGGCATTAAATCGCAGGACATTGTGCCTTTATGCTTCGAGAAATCGGCATGGGTCATTGTCAGACTTCTTGGCGTAATCAAGGCTGGTGCTGCCTTCGTCTTCATTGACCCCAACGGATCAATCCACTTGGGTGGACGTAAAGGTACCCAAGTCAAACTGAAAGGCCTGTGCATCGAGTTGGGCGAAATCGAGCGCCGTATCGCAAACATAATCACGACAATGCTCTGTAGAGTCGCTAACTGCTCGCTTGCCATGCTGTGTAAGCTCGAGAACAGTTAGCTCACCTCCTCCGCACCCAATGTAAATAATCCGGCCCCTTACTAACAATTCGTATCGTATACCAAAAACCTATCATTTGATCCGATCGCCCTCATCAAGCAAGCGAAAACAGGACCAGCGTATGATATTACTCATACGAGTAGGGCAGAACATGCTCATCTCGCCCTCAACAACGAAGTCTTTAACAGCCTGACCGTAGTATGCTTCCTGCGGCCTTAGCACTTTTATCTAGCCAGAGTTTAAAGCCTTCATTCTAAAAACACCTGGTAGACCCACACAAGTAAAGAAGTACACTACTGGATATATTCATTCATGCTGACATGGTGAGCTAAATCGATATGTACATTCAGCACCATGACCGTACTCTATAGGACCTAAGCCTGCACACGCAGTGTACGCGACGGTAAGCAGCGGCTATACTTCCGGTTTAGATTTGTCGAGAAAGCTTCATCCTCTCGGGTATCATCTCATCTCATCTCATCTCATCTCATCTCATCCAAACACACCAGAAACGGGCCTCCCCAATCTTCTGCATTAACCTAAAAGTGTTATAAACCTCATCACTCGGTCGCGACATCAAAGTAACTCGTCGTGAAGAATCCACCGTCCAGATTATATACATCCTCCGCCCAACTCGTTCCATTAATCTGATGATACAGCAGCACATCACTCCCATTCCCGCCGACGGCGCCCGCCAACCTACTGTACGGAAACGTGCTCTTCGGCTGCGTGCTCAAGCCGATGTTCTTCGTCGTGTAAGCCGCCAGATCGGTGCCGTTGACCCAGAAGCCGAAGAGGGTGTAGGAGAGGGAGGTGGGATTGTTGACGAAGACCTGTGCGATGTCGACGTCGCCGATGAGGGACTCGTTGTAGGAGGCTGACTGGAGGGAGGGGTCGGAAGGGGCGTTGGTGGGAGTGGAGGGGAGGGAGGTGGCGGTGGCGGGGAAGGCGTTTGCGAGGGTGAGGGAGGTGGGGTAGGTGAATTGTTCGGTGGGGGGCAGGGCGGGGACGAGGAGTGTTTGGACTGGAAAGGCTCGTGTAAGCATACGAGCGTATTGCTGGTCTCAACAGGGAAGAGGGGCCACGTACGCTCCGGTGCGGTCCAGGCGCTGTTGTTGAAGAAGGAGAAATACAAGTCGTAATATACACTACCGTTTGACGTAAGGACCCCAACCTGTGGAGTAACGACAGTGTTGGCATCCGACGCACCCGCAGCCAACGCCAGTACATGGCCTCCTTGCAAGCCACTTGGTAAGCTCGGACCAGGACTTGCGACGATGCTGTCAGCGGAAGTCGGGGTGATCGTTAAAGATTCCACACTGCCATTTTGAGCTACGTAGAAGACGAATGCTTGGCCTGAGAGCACGTTATTATTGAGTAATGTACACGACAAAGCTCGTGTGTTGGTGGCGGTCGTGATGGTCATGTTAGGGGTTCCAGCTGGGGAGAAATTGTCGCGGGTGGTCCATGAGCCTGAGATGAATTGTTTGCTGGCGAGTTGGTTGGTGGCGGTTATGTAGAAGAGGAAGATCTTGAGGTTGTTTTAGCGCATATGATCGTTCTTTCTCTAGGAGATAGAACACCTACCACAGGTCCTGTATCATCGGCAAAGGGAGTGCCTGTGCTATTCACGAGCAGTGCTGCTAGCGGCGTATTATTCCTCGCATCCGCCGCTACTACGTTGTTGATATCACTCGTCCACGAGTTTGCTGATTGGGAGAAAAGGGCTTCCCGAATATTCCCAGTGCCCTCCTGGAACAATAATCGTTTGTCCCCATCCCCCAATGCCACGATCGATACCGACGAATCGTTGTAGATTCCATGAGGTAATGACGCGTTCGATGTAGAGTTTGCCACCAACGGAGAAGTACTTGATAGGGTGAGCAATATTGCACAATTCCATGCGAAAGGACCCGCACCTTGTAGAGGACTTCGAACTCTTATGCCTAGTCAGACCAACACCCAAGCCTACGCCCAAAGCAATCGCAATGACGATTAAGCCCACCAGCCCGATGATAACCCAGAAGACCAGGCCTCGCCGCTTTTGCGGTCTTTCCGACCCTTCCTTATGCGACGCGACTTCTGGGTGCGAATCTAGATTCGCGAAAGGCGTTCGTGGTGGAGGAGGGGAGCCAGCCTCCTTCAGTGTTTCCCTGTCTTTATTTGGATCGTAGTTTGGATCTGGGGAGCCATATTCTGGCGCAGAATCGCTGACTCTGTCCTTGAAGTCGGGTCTAGAGGGAGTGTAGGCAGTGGTCTCGGAGGTAGGGGAGAGGCTCTGGAATTCAACTTGTCAACAGACCGAATTCTTTTGGGAGAGACTTTCTGCACTTGCTGGGCAATGCAACATACTTGGGGCGGCCATGACTTCTTGTCAAGCTCTGGAGATTCGCCGGAGAGGTCTCGTTCCGGCGCATGTGCAGCTTGGTCGACGACTTCCGGGAATGGCGCCGTGTGTTCGTTGGGCGCAACTTCGAGCTCGGAGTATTGCTCCGCCATCATTGCGAGGAGAGAAGCGATACATACATACGAAACTTATATACACAAGAAATACACATGTACAATTGAGCAAGAAAGAAGAAGGGAAACCATGCTATCGCGAAAGCTGACGAAAATGAGGGGAATCTTAACTTTCCAGGCCCACCGTCAGCTCTTGTAAGATCCTTTCTCAGGTAGCTCGACCGAGGTTAACTCCCGTTAGGGCCGTTACCCGCCTCACACCAGCATAAGTTGGGGGCTAGTATAGGGATCTAACGGTGATCCGAGCCAGCCCTGACCCTTGTTCCGGCAGTAGATACCCCTAAATTTAGCATTGGCTTTGTGCCGAGACTCACCATTCTCACTTTGGCAACCTTTGCGTGCCCTGGAGTATTCCCGTCATATCTGACATGGCAGAAGACGCATATCAACTTCGATCTCGTGCAGCTACTCCCTTAAGGCGTAAATAAGAGACGATTCTCGCGCTTTTGACGAATCCCGGAGCAATGTTGAGGACGGAGCCTGCGGCGGCGTAGGTCGGGAACCAACAGTAGGGAGGAGGCAAAGTGAGACGTCAATCTCAGGGCTGTTCTTACCACTGAAGTGGTGGAGTATCGTTTTCTGCGAACAGAGGCCCGCTGGAGGAATATCTGCATCATCCACTTTGCTCAGAAGGAATTTTCCCAGAAGAGGTAAGACCGATACGCATGAGGACTATGGTCTCATTGTGTCGATCAGCTCTGGAGTTTCATCTATCTCATGTCGTTTTGTTTGTTGGGATTTTCATGATAAACAACCACCACTCTCTTGCCACCATAGCTATGTCCTCGACAGCTAAATCTTATTTCGGGTCACTTCCGGTCGTGCGGGTTCCCCGCTCTGCTTGTATACCGATCCGGTCAAAGAGAACAAAACGAAAGCCGAAAAAGCCGACCTGACAGCTGCGGTCCGAGCGGCTTAGATGGCGTACGAGCAATGATCTCCATGTGTCACCCCAGGAAAAATAAGGTAGACTCTATCCACCAGAGAACAGGGCAAGCCTGGTATGCTGAGCAGCTGTTCTGTTGGCATTGGACTGATAGTGGAAACCCAAAGCCTCTAGGACGCAACAGGTCGATACATTTGTGTTCCAAATTTTAGCAGAGCGCGAAGAAGAAGGCAAGAAGGGCCACATGTAAGCTCAGAGCGCACCAACTCCATCCTCCACCTGCCTAATTTGCGATACAGATTCCAAGACGTAATCGACGACTACATCCACAAACTCTTGTGGTACAAACGTGACATCCCCAACACTACGGGGCGAGAGGTCTTCCGCGACGAGGAAGCCGTCGGGCTGATCCACAAGATCGAAGGCCTCGGAGGTACGAAAGAGGACGTCATTGCAAGCTTAGTTCGCATCTCGGCCCAAGCCATCTGCCGCTTTGCCCCCCAAGAACAAGCCTATCAGCGAACTCTACATGGCTGGTGGAGGCGCCCACAACCCCAACATCACCGATCACATCCAGAAAAGATTCCGCACATGCGCCTGACATGGCTCGACGAAGTCAAATTTCCCAGCGATGCTAACGAGGCCGTTTCTTTCGCATGGATGGAGATGGAAGCTATAGTTGGCCGGCGTTTATTGGGGCCGAAGCGCGTCGAAACCGACATTCCTTGCGTTGTTGGCAAGATCACTCCCGGTAACAAGTTCGGCGAGCTCATGACGATGGGGACGGAGTTTGGTAAGAGTTACAAGGGCATGCTACCGGCGGTGAAGAGTCTCCAAATCGAGAAGGGCTGGACTGGCAAGACCGTGCATGACTACGTTCCTACTTGCCCTGGACCCAAGCCTTTCTGGTGATCCATGGAATGAAGAGGCGGTAGTGTTTGCTAGATTTGTGAATTTTCGAATACGGCAATGGAGCTAATGGCGCCAGAGATGGCGGGATTGGATGTGTTGGCATTGTAGTCTGTGCCAGTGGTGCTGCACTCCGGAAGGGGAGGGAAGGGGGAAAGGCATTTCAGTAATTACCGCGAATCTGAAAAGTGTTAAATGAGAACAACACAATTTCCTTTACAAAGCTTTGCGAATATGAAGTAGCTCAACGTGTCTCAACAACGCGCAGAATGAAGATTAATTGAGAATAATTACAATCCTCGGAGTTCGATTTTCCCCAGAGACGGGTCGAAGAAGAGTGAACACAGAGTTCAAAGATGATGGAATTCGAATCCGACTGTGTTGAGAAGTTAAGTTGCTCCGACTTTACGTTCGATGGAAAATGAACGTATTGAAGGGCAACACTTGAACACGAGGAGAAGAAGACGGGATGAAAGGAAAACACGGAATCCAACAGCGACAAGATGTCCAATTGCCAAGCATTCCCGAACAAGCTAGCGTGCCTTGGGGGGGGGGCGGATGTGATGAGTGTGAGGGATCAAATGGGAGCTGTCAGAAACCTTGACTAAGGCAGTCTCTGCCACCGTCAAGGAAACGAGCCGCATGTTCTGAACAGTAGTAGCAGAACAGTAATAAGGAATCTTAATCGCAACCGTAGACAGGACTATCTCTGGGGACATGGTTTGGTTCGTGTAACGAATTTAGTGGCAAGAATTGAGTACTAAGAAGAAGAATAGCAGGTAGCACAGATGCATTGTCTTTAGGTTCACGTTGAGTAGGTATGGATGGAGTTGGTACTCAGCATAGAAAGAATGGGTGGTATGTTGTAGAATTAGATCATGTTATGGAAAAGGAAACAGGGACTATCAAAGTTTCTATTGCAAGTCAGATAGTAGGAAGCGGGACAGGTTATGCTCGTTACGACTAGACTAAAAGATGATCACTAGTAGTCCGTCACTAAATAGTAATTTATACTAGTTGTAGGCTTGAAAGCGTATAACCGCTTTTCTATACACATCTACTACTTTAGAAAAAGAAGACGCCGCGCTCCTGCGGACAAGAGTGAAGATTTATTACTTTAAAAAAATGGGAATCTACTATATAAGAATCGAATCCTCTATCTCTTATCACCAAAGCCTCTATAAGCGTAATTGCCTATGGTCACCAGAAGCGAGACGAGTTATACTCGTTATGATTAGACTAAAAGATAGTCACTAGTAATCCGTTACTAAATAGTAATTTATACTAGTTGTAGACTTGAAAGCGTACAACCGCTTTCCTACACATATCTTAGTAGCAAGCTGTTGTAACGAAAACTTAGGTTACAACCCTACCGCTTTCAACTAAGGTACAGTATCTGACGGTGTAGTTGTAGCTCCGGAGCTGCAAAGTGCAATATGTAGTGAGTTTTTTTCACTAATCTAGCGGAACATGTCCGCTTGCAGGTCTTGGCACGATTTCACGCATAACTTTGTGCATCTTGTAATTTACCTGTACGTATCAACTTTAATAGCCCCTAGTGACAAGATCTGATTTTAAGTTTACTTCGAGGTAAAATGAATTAGCATATGAGCTAGCGGCACTTGGCGCGTTACGATTGGCCGAAATTTAGCGGCCATTAATCTTAATCGCCTCGAGAAATTCAGTGACAACAGAAGTACCTTCATCAACACCCACAAATCTCGACACCCCAAAGTCTCTCGTGTGAACTTCTACTAATGATGCTATCGACTATTCGAAGCGCCTTGACTCCCAGTGCAAATCAGGCTGAAGACAAAGAGCTTTCAGAATTGGCTATGGATATCTCACCTACCGCTCCAGATCTTCTCGCTTACAATTCTTCACCTCCACCTTTCTCCCCGTTCGCAGAATCACAAGAGCATTTTCCGACGCCGGCAGCTCATGCATCAAACGGCAACAGCGCTGTGATGGCTGAACAACATGACCCTTCCATGGACCTCTCATCAGATCAGAACTCGCCAAGTCGCGAGCAGGAAGCAACGGACGACAGTCTTCTTGGCCCTGTAAAAGCCAGCGATCCTACGTCGGATTCTCATCATGGAGCTTCCTCACTAGATGGCGCGTCTGATGATCATCTACAAACTCCCATGGAAGATGCTTACGCCAGAGGCGCTCTCCTACCTTCTGCCGAGCCGGCGCAATCTACAAGCAAGTCTCAGCGAACCCAGTGGACCCCTAGTCCAAGCGCCGACTACGCAGGATTGCAACCAAGAACTAGCAGCACTCCGCAACCGACAAACATGGTGACCGCGACAACAGGGGGAAACGCACCGCGCTCTCAGAAAGCCGAACCCTTTACATCAACATCGGGAACAGCCAGCGGTGAACTAGAGCAGAGTGCTCAAGCAGCAACCGATGACGCAGAGACGTCCGCCTCCTCAAAGGCTCGACCACCCAAACGCAAGTGTGAAGATGATGCCTCGGAAATGGAGACCAAGTATGTCAAGAAGCAACGAAGCCAGTCGAAGAAAGAGGAGGGCTCTACGGGCAATGTCAAGCAACCCGGTGCCAGCAAAGCCAAATCGCCCAAGAAGCGAGGCAGGGCGAAGAAAGAAGACAGCTCTACGGGCAAGGTCAAGCAACAAGCTGCTGCCAAAGACGAGTTGCCTAAGAAGCGAGACCAGGCGAAGAAAGAAGAGAGCTCTACGGGCAATGTCAAGCAACAGTATGCTGGCCAAGACGAGACGCCTAAGAAGCGGGGCAGGCCAAAGAAGGAAGAATTGTCTGCACAAGAGGTCAAATCACAACTCGTCTCAAAAGAAAACGCGCCTGCAAAGCGAGGTAGACCGAAGAAAGAAGCCGTTCCTACCCAACGCCCTAAGGAAATGCAGACGATGAACAAGGAAAAATCCGACGGATTTGCAAAGGGTGCTGCGGTGCTCAAGGATCAGGATAGAGAAGCGAAGGAGAAGCCGAAGAAGATAGGGAGACCGGGCAAGGGAGCAGAGCCCGCTGGGGCCGTAGAGCCAACTGGCGTGCCTGCGGCGGATACACCAAAGAAGAGAGGCAGGCCGAAGAAGGGGGAGGAGGCTGCGCAGGGTACCGAGCCACAAGGCTCATCTAATGTGGAGATAGCCAAGAAGCGAGGACGACCAAAGGCAACCGAGCAGGGCGAGACCCCAAAAACACGGACGCCAGGGAAACGTGGGAGGCCAAAGAAAGAGCAAATCACACCCAAGGGTGCGAAGCCAGTGGGTATCGTCAAAAAGAAGGCAGGGAGGAAATAGGGGGCACATTCCACTTGAGCAGCAACCTTAGGGCATCAGGCGATTGGCATACATGCGACTTTACTACATGCTATGGCCTGGACTTGCGAGTGTTCTTCTCAAGGTCGTTCCCATCTGGCTCCGGTCGTGTCTGTGCGGTTGTCAAGACACTACGAGATCCAAATTCATCGAAATTAGCTAATTCAAGCATGCGTAGATTAATAGAACACGTCGAGACTTCTCACCTCTACTCTCCAATGTGTAGACTACTGCTGCTTGACTAACGACACAGGTGCGATATAGATTCTCTTCGCATTCACCCAATAGTTCATCCCCACCGCCACGATCACAAACGCGAAGATCACAACGGCCCAATTCATCCCAGCCGCGCCTGGCATCGGTGTCTCCGGGAAGAAAGAGAATACAAAGCTCAAAACCAAGAATGCTAACGCTACATCATTGACCACAGAACCCCATTTACCCAATGACCAACGGCGTGGTAGTAGCTCTTCGTTACGTAAACGCTTCAACCGAATGGCCCCAATGGAAATGATATAAGAGAAGAGGAGGGCTGCGTTGGAGAGGCTGATGAGCCTTCAAAGCGACGTCGGAGCCGAAGTTGAGGGCTGAGATGAGGAGTGACACGACCAGGACTACAATGAGGGAGTTGACGGGTATATCCCAACCTGGCCGTACCTGCACGCAGGATATCAGTATGTTCATCCAAATCTGATTTCCAAAGCCCGCCGAGCAACATGACTCGATGTAGCTTGAGAACGGGAAGCCCTTGTCTCTCGCGAATGCCCAAACCTGGCGACTCGAAGACGCAATGCAAGTAATCGTCCCAACCATCGACAACAGAATCAGAATCGTCGTCATGAAAGTCGTCGCAGCTATCATCGAATCCGTCGAATTGTACAAAACCTGAATGATGGAAATGCCAGTCTGCGTCGGATTCGTAAGTCCCAGCACATTATCCTGCCAGTCCGGACCCAGACAGAAGCATAGCGTGATGAGCATCAGCAAGCCCAACAAAGCGTTGAAGAAGGAACCCCACATCATCGCGGAAGGCAGAACACGCGAAGCGTCCTTTAGCTCTTCGCTCATATGAGCGCCGGCATCCGGGCCGAGGAAGCACCACAAAGGTGTCGTGATGCCAACGAGAGCCGACAGTCCAGTGTTACCCCAGCCGCCATTATCTTGAAACTGCGTGAAGACCTGTTTGGCTGGTGCATGATCGCTAGTCACCCACAAGACGATCATGAAGACAAAAAAGCCGACAACATGAACAACCACGAATATCCCTTCCGTTACCGGAAGTTGTCTTGCGCAGAAGATGTTGAGTGCAGCCGCGGCCACCAGGAACAGCATGATAAACAACGTCGTCTGCCACAACGCATCCACACTCGCATTCGGGTTCCTCAACAACACCAGCCCCCGCACCAGCGTCGCCGTGAGCTGCGCAGCAGACGGACATCCCGTGACCCATCCAAATGCGCTACTCCATCCTACGCAAATCATCAGCCAAGGCAGTCGGCTGGCACCTACTCTTAACTCACCAACGAGATAGCCGAGGGGCTTCTGCAAGGAAGTGGGTGCAAATTCCGATACCCAGTGCTACCGGCCGCCGGCAGTTGGGGCCCTGGGGACAAATTGTCAACTCTCCACCAATGCCTGTTTCAGATCCAGAAGACCACCAACATGGAAACCATCTCCGCGATGGACGCAATCATGCACAGAGCACCAAAGATGACACGAGCAGTCACCCAGATCACCCCGCCGTGCCTCCGTCGACAAGACCGTATTGCGCCGCGAGCAAGATGCTCTCCCACGTCGACTGGAGAACCATGACGGACCCTACGATAGAGATGAAGCGGAAAATCCGCCGCAGCTCCCGCCGCTTGCCCATTCGGCTCATATCGTAGACATCGTGGCTCGCGCCGTCTTTCTGCTCTTGGACGGATTCAGTGCTGAAATCGACGTCGGAAGTGGAGGTGACTTCGGTTTGCGCATTCGATTTCTCATCGATGGGATTGGGCTCGGATAGCTCCATGATTCGAGCAGTACTTCACGGAAGCTGAGAGAAGAAAAGAGAAGAAAAGAAAAAACCGCAGCGAATGGCCCCGACCTTCGTCTTTATGCCATCCTGCTAAGATCTCTTCCCTCGTGGCCTACTGCGTGGCAAGCCCCATCCTTCTCGGCGAACGGCATCGTTGGATCCTGCGTTGGCGCACGCTTCTATCATTGGACGTACAATCACACAACCGATGTGGGCCGCATGGAAGGATTGGCCTTTGCATGGATACCTTGTCGCTTCAGGAAGGTGGGGTTGACCACCAGCTCAGATCTCGCGGTAAGGCTGCATGCCCAGCACCTCCGACCGCTTTTCTCTCTGTTCCAGAACCTTGCTAGATACCAGCATCAAGATTGTAGTGCCAACGAGATATTACGATCTCCTGGCGGGTAGAATGATCGACTTGCTCCTCAATGGGCGTTCACACGGATCCATACTCGAGCGCCAAGCCTCGCGGCTTCCGGCCTTTTCAACCTTCCCCTACCTACAATGACGCGCCAATGTAGGAAGCTTCCTCTTCGCTCGCGGTTTTCAATCGTCCAGAAGCGAAGAATCATGGAAGGATGTCTGTACGAGGTCACAATCAATCTTGAAAGGGCTCTTGGTCGTCCATGACGAGCAAATGGGCGAAGGACATTCTGGATCCACACATCTTAGTACGCACGGAGCCGAAGGCACCTATACGGAGGACCCAGAATGTATTGTCTTCGCAAGTGTCTCCCCGACAATTGGTTGCTTATTCCAGAATGAAAAAACTCTCGAGCCTCCCACTATGATTTTCAAAGCAATCAAGTGTTCTTGGACAGTCCAGACTCTGGTCCACCGAGAAACATGGATGAATGGAGATAACAATGTTCAAGACTAGTCGTTAAAGATGATCCCATTACACGGGTACAGAACCCAATTGATCAATGGACTTGCTCCATGGACGGCTCCTGGTTTTCGTCTTGCCCTACTGAATTCACGGCTTCCTCCACTATTCTTCCTGGAAGGGAACTTGCGGAGAGCGCAACGGGCGTGTGCAGAGAAGATGTTGCCGGTACATTCTGACTCCGCTCTTTGGCCAAAATCCTGGCCGGCGCTACGATTGTGGGGACTCTCGACCACGTCTCTTGAAGCTGGTTGATAGAGTGGGAGTGATCCTCGAGCTCAATCCCTGCCTCGAACGACTTCCGTTCCACGTCCCTCAGTGGAAGTTCGAATCTTGACTTTTAGAGTCAGGCTTCAGCGGAAAGTGGACAGCGTCATAAGATCTTTCTCTTACAGGCCCCGGAGCAAAGCTGTCTTCATAGCAAAAACAGAACAACTTGCTTCGCACAACAGCGAAAATTGCGCATTTGCTCGACTTGGCGGGCTTTCTCGGCATTGCCGACAGTCTTGTTTGATACGAGTAGCGTCCCATTATGTTGGCCTGGGACATGCCTGCGGTGAGCTGGATCGTCGAATCAATGATCTTTATACTACAATGACACTCGCTATCTCATAGGACCATATAGTGTGAGTATAGTCAATGGAGACATTGGAAGCCAGGAAAACATTCGAGTTGAATGCGATTCACCGAACTCAGAAGCTCTGACTTTGTAGTCCGAATGGAGACTCTGTTAGCAAGGACTGCTATGAAGGCGGAGAATTGACGCCTCTTCACCAGCTGCGCGACTGATGTCCCCAAACTCGGTATTCTGTTGATAGCAGAATCTTGGATGGCATGCCAATGTGGTCAATCAATTGGCTACGGATTGCGCTTACCGCTTTTGGAGCTAACCGGATGTGGGCGTCGATCATGACTTGCAAGATGAATTGGAATCCAGGCAGATAGCTTGGCTTCCAACTTGATAAAAGAAAGCTAGTAATGCGAGACATGGCGTGGCATGTCTTGTAGGCGCGTGTCATTGGCGCGATTTGGAGGCTAGAGTGCCCTTCATTTCAGGAGTGGATCGGACCTGCATTAGCCATGCATGCTCCGGGGCGCGGATCGTCTTCCGCGATGCCTTACCTTCGACCGAACATGTCCGCAACCCGCTAACCAGCGATCTTCCTTCTAGGTCTGTCAAAAGACTTCATTCAAGGTCACGTACTGCTCGTGGCCATGCGGCTATCATCATGGTACGGTAGTATCTTCCCATCGATGCCGGTTATTGTTACCCTCACTGGACAGTTCAATTGGTGAAATATCCGCGCCGGACTGTCAAGAAGATAGACTTCTGCGCCGCACCAGTTCATGCAGCTGTAATCTTCGAGGAAGATGTATGCACAACCCCCTTTTGATAAAATGTGCGTCTGCATAGCAGTCGTCATTTGGGTCGGAATGTGGAGCTCACTTGTTGTCGTCGATTTCCTAACTCGGATATCCCAGAAACGCGTGTGTATTTATCGTGCAGGATGCCGGTTATAACAGCGAGGTTTTCCCAAGTACCTAATTGAAAGCCCAACAGACTGTCTCCAGTGAACGGAAAATGCCTGCAGCAAGATGCGAGACCAAGTCTTGCCGCATGAATCGTGCACACTCATCACCTTAGTGCTTATTTCAGCGGTACACTGTCAGGGGTTTTTTCTTTCGATCTCATAAGATGCATCGCCTTCTCGATTCCCGTGATGGGATCTCTATCGAACAGGACTCCGGCTGTTTCTGGCCTTTCTTTTCTCGTCCTCAGGTTGCCTTGCACTCTTGGCTTTCTAGTTTCTCTCTATGGTAACACAGCTATCTACAAGTGTTATCTTATCACGCCACAGACATGAATATCCCAGCGATCCTGCAAACCGGGCTAACCAGCGCCATGTCCGCGGCTGTCGCAAAGTTTACGTCAAATCTGACAGTCATCTCCAGCCTTCCTCAGAGCTCCACCAACGGTCAGAAATTGCAGCCAAAAGCCCGTTTGCAGAATGTTCCGCTAATGTATCTCGTGGCCATCAGGTGCGTCGCAACTTGGTACGCTTCAGGCACCGAATCTTCCGATTAATTGGCTTCCGCATGTACGTTTCTATGAAAAGGTAGATGCTTCTCAGATGGCTGATGAGTCGACCAGTCTGGCAGTGGCGCCCCGTGGGGGTCGAGAACCGCTTTCAATGCAAACCCCTACACACAAGCTCCGTCATCATCAGGTATATACGACTGCTTCATTCTCTACATTTCCTCTACGTCCAGCGATTTTTCAGCGTCTTTCATTTCGTCACCTACCAGCTACCCTTTCAACAATGTATCAGTCTTGCAGTCAGTTCATTGCCCACCGCCCCTCATTTGATTACAGACATCATCCGAATTATAGCATTTCTTCAAACCACGGTCATCGGCTTCCACACAACAACCCCATGACCATTTGATCATTCTTATCTTTTTCCTTTCTTGCTTAACATCCCTTTCAGGTCAGGAAAGAGTCTACAATTTCACAGTTGCGCGAGGCACCATTGCACCAGACGGCTATGAAAAAAACACACTTCTCATCAACGGCCAATTCCCCGGACCAACAATCGAAGCCAACTGGGGCGACATCATCACCGTCACAGTCAACAACGCCATCTCAGGTCCCGAAGAAGGGACCTCGCTCCATTGGCACGGCCTACTGCAGACCGGCACTCCCTGGGAAGACGGAGTCCCAGCAGTCTCACAATGTCCAATCGCCCCTGGCATGAGCCTAACATACAGCTTCGAAGCAGACTTGTACGGCACATCCTGGTACCATTCCCACTATAGCGCACAATACTCCGGTGGTCTTATCGGACCTATGATAATCTACGGCCCAAATAGCGCAGACTATGACATTGACCTCGGCCCAGTGCTGCTGACGGACTATTATCATCTGTCGTACTATGACCTCGTAGAACAGATAATGGGTACAGATCTCACAATGATAGCGCCAAGATCGGTCAACAACCTGATCAATGGAAAGATGGACTACAATTGCTCACTTGTCACTGATGGAACCCCCTGCACGAACGACGCTGGGCTTTCGAAGTTCGAGTTCACTACTGGGAATAAACATCGGTTGCGCTTGATCAACGCTGGTGCTGAGGCTATCCAGAAGTTCAGCATTGATGAGCATACGATGACTGTTATCGCGAATGACTTTGTGCCAATCCAGCCGTATGAGACCGATATTGTGACGCTGGGAGTAATCAATAACTCAGTCAAACACATCTGGATAACGGACTGACTCTTTGGACAGATCGGCCAACGCACCGATGTAATCGTCCAGGCTAACGGCGACCCCGCATCCACCTACTGGATGCGCTCCACCATCTCCAACTGCTCCCTCACAATCCAACCCGACGCCCTGGCCGTAATCTACTACCCCTCGGCCCCCGCAGATGCAACCCCCAAAACCACCGCCTGGACAGACACCACCCCCCAGTGCGCCAACGACGCCTTATCCTCCACCACCCCCATCTACCCCATAACCCCAACCGCGGACCCCGCAACGACCATAAACCTCACGATCGGCGCCACCGTCAACAGCACCGGCCACTTCCTCTGGACCGTCAACGGCGTCTCCTTCCGCGCCGACTACAACGCGCCCGTCCTCCTGCTCGCCAACGCCGGCAACACATCCTACCCCTACGACCCGGAGTGGAACGTCTACGACACGGGCGCCGCGACCTCGGTGCGCCTCGTCGTCGAAAACACCACCCCGGTCGCGCACCCCATGCACCTGCACGGCCACAACATGTACGTGCTGGACGAAGGCGTGGGCTCCTGGGACGGCAGCAGCGTTGTCGATGGCGGCAATCCGCAGCGGCGGGACGTGCAGCTGCTGCAGCCGCACGGGTACCTCGTTGTGCAGTACGACGCCGACAACGCGGGGGTGTGGCCGTTTCACTGCCACATCGCCTGGCATGTTAGCGCGGGGTTGTATGTCAACTTGCTGGTGGGTCTAGTCCCCATCCATCCATCCATCCATCCATTCATTCATTCGGCGTGGGGAACAAGGGGGAGAATGCTGACGAAGGTGCCAGGAGCAACCGGCCGATATCGCGAACATGCAGCTACCGGGGTCGAGCAAGCAGACTTGTGTGGATTGGGCGGCTTTCACGAACGTTGACGTGGTGGATGAGATCGATTCCGGTCTGTAGAGCCTTTTTCTCCCGTAGAGCAAGGACGTGTAAAGTGAGTGGGTTTTTTTGGCGGGGGGGGGGTGGGGCGATGGAGTGGTATCCCATCGTCCGGCAGGGGATAAAAATTCAGGGGGGTTCCGACCGAACATCAACAATACCCTCGTCGCAAATTCAGTGTATTTCAACAACGACTGCTTCCGCAAGAAAGGGTTCAAGTGTCGCGATTACTCTACTCTTCATATACAAAACCAAGGCTTTATAATAGAAAATTATTTTAGATCCTGCCGTTCGAACGTTGTGGTGATACAAAGGTGACGAAGTTTGATGACGTTTTACCCCCCAGGCGCCCGAGGATGGGATACTGGTCCCTAACGAGCGGCGGCGTTGGCTGTGATTTTTGGCCGCGCAGGGATCATAGAATTGGATAGAGGAGCATGGTCGGTCTTTATTTGAATAGCGGATAGCGTGCGAGGATACGAATAATGTCGAATGGATTTATGTGCACAGATCTATGGTTCAGGATTCGAAGTATGCAGCTCGCAGTGATACTGGTATGAGAGACGCCATGATCCAGTCACAGGTGGCAAAAAGCTTCACTTGGTCGCGGTCTCCACAAAAATTATCATACTAGATGGGAGTCTACGCTCGAATGACCGACTATGAAGGTCAGAGACTATGGCTTACCCAATTCTCACTAGGCAACCGAAGACTTCACAACGTCAGCAGTGATGTTAGTCTTGTCTAGCATGGTGATACCTATTACCACATTATTAACGTGTACCTCAGGGAGTTCTTCCTATCAATCGATTCCAACTTACTGTTGACATGCCACCCATGGAACTGGCCAATACTCCTCTTGTTGTTGGGTGTAGCAGCAAACTCTATAATGCAACCGGAAAAGCTCTTGACCGTGGGGAAGCCTAGCACCTCCTCATTAGTCAACGCTCTCTAAAGAGAATGCGAGCAACCTCACCTCGTCCAGAGAGGTAGCCTCCATTGAAGCAGAGTCCGTTGTACGGAAAGCTGTAAATGTCGTCTTGCCCGAAGGTGTTGATGGCGCAGGCGATGTCTTGCACATCTCCGCCATCGATTCCCGGGGGAAACTCGCGGTTTTTGAAAGTCCACGACTCGGCAGCGCCGGTGCTGGGGACCCAGGCTGCACCGTCCTGTGAGGAGACGGGCGAGGCGAGACCGAAGGTGAAATTCCGCCTGAACATGTAGCCTCCATACGCTCCGGCAGTACCGGAGTAGGCCTAATGTCGGATTTGGTCAGTTGCCGTTCCTATTTCGACTTATGCAATGGTTGGGACGTGCTCACAGTGTCAGAAATTCCGGTTGCTTGCGGGATCTGGTTGGGATACGACACTACTCTCTGCGACGTTATGGACTGGCCATTGAACGTACTGCCCACGGTAAACCATCTCTCGCTTGGAGGTGAAGTAGACCAGGGTACAAAGTTTACCGCGCTGTCACCCCGTTGCGCTCTTTCGTAATATGCCACATTCGTTTGAATACTGCTAAGCATCCCTATGAAGCTACGTAAGCAAGCATGACATCAGCGGACGAGGAGGTTCGGTACCCACTGTTACAGTTTCCTTGTAGGGTTTGTTGCCATGCAGGTACGCAGGTGCTTTGAGAGGAGGTAGCTCCTGACGCCAACGTACGGAGGTAACCGCCCCCTTCTTCTGTCGACGCGAATGGGAATTCGTCACATGATATTGCGATTGTTTTATCTTTCGTTTGTGCCTGAAGGTTACTTTGTTGCGATGTACAGTAGGCACCATCAGATGATTTTGGACAGGAGATTGCTGCGCGATCGACCCTTCTTTCTCGATTGGGGTCCCAAGTAAGGACCATGTCACTGTTTGCTAAACCTCGACGCGTGAGAAAGCTTTGGATTCCAGAGCAGATTCCGGGAACGATGATTTGACCATTGTTGCCATTGAGCTGACTGTCTCCGAAAATACCGCAGTTAACTTGACCAATTAGTAATGATGCCACAAGCTTGGGCTTCCTCTGACAACTCACACCGAAAGTCGGGCAGTCTTATCAAGGAGCTATCCCCCGTAGGACAGGTCAGTTGCTGGGAGAAGTCCGGGGTCTGGCTTTGAAATGGATCCTCATCAGACGAGTCCCCTCTTTTGTCATAGAGGTAGCTCGTCGCCAACATTGAAGAGCGGTTCGAGGGAGAGTAGAGGTCGGGCTCATGGCCATGATAAAATTCTCGCTTATCATTACTGGTGATGCCGCTGAAGGAGCCCGTACTTTCGTAGATGGTGAACCTGGGTGTCGGGTTGTACGCGTTGCGCGGCTGTAGAGCCCAATTCGGAAAAGATTTGATCGTGGCAAAGGCCCCATAGCCGAGATTGTAGAATAGGTAAACACCATAACTGTAGGTTGATGTGACATCATTGTTTGCTCCTCCAGACGCAGTAGCGGAAGCTTGAAACGACAGAGATGTGTTCACGTAGCCCACGAGCTGCGCATCAACTAGAGGAGAGCCCCCAGTTATTGTGCCGCCAATTCTGAGTCCCATGTTGGCCTGTGAGCACGTAAGTAAGAGCATGCATGGCAACTGACAAGGTTTGCGCCCAGCTATCGTCGTAGTCCAGGGGCGCAAAAGCGTGGATGGGTTGAGAACTTACTTCTGGGGTGACGAGAACATCTATCTGTGCATTGATTGTGACTTTAGCATCAAACATTGGCTGGACCAAGCTCTGGTCCTGAGCTGACGGTTTTGCATCAAGACCAAGCAGCTCTTGGTACTGGCTACTTGCAGCGTCATCTTGGGGCCAGTAGACTTCTGCTTTACCAAAATCCAGTTTGGCTCCAGCGTTCATTTGTCCTTTCAGCGTAATGACGCCCCGGATCTGAGGTTGGTGTTAAGCATGCCCATTAACGCGATAAGGGTTGGACAGTCACTCACTTCGCCATATAAGTCCAACGTTGGTCCAACTGCAGCTATGCCTTTTATAGAGAGCCCTGGATACGATACAGTGTCCAAGATCTTCTTGCGGCCTGTCGTAGCCTGGAGCCTGGCGTTTCCAACGATTCGAAGACCCAAATACGCGCTAGGCTCAAGGCTCAAGTATGCGTAAGTGCCAGTAACGGCTGGTGGAACGATAGTGCCAGAAAAATAATAAGCATAGGTAGCATCCATTTCAACGTTTGCATCCAGATACATCTGCATGTCAGCAGAGAAAGTCTGACCGGGGCATCTACGCATGATCAGCATTAATTCGCCTGCAAGAGTATTCATGCACAATTACCCGTAAGCCGCCTTGAATAGCAGAATACTTTGCTGAACGGCCATACTGAGCCAACCCAGATTTTTGCTTTCTACCGTGTTCTGGTCATACATTCAGCTTCTGATGATAGGAGAGACTGTGTTGAAGTCTTAGGAAATAAGATAGCAGAGGGGCAGGCGCTTACCAAACGACCCAGCCAGTCGAGAAACGCGCCAAACCATCTCTGGTCGAGCTTGTTCCCACCTTGGCCCATATCCTTCGTTGTCCTAAGAGCCTTGGTTGCGAGACCTCGTTTGCGCAGCTTCTCATGCCTCGACTTTGCCTGGGAGATCTTGGAGCGCCACTCTTCCTTAGACATATGCTCTTGGTGGGTTTGGCGTCTTTTCTGTTTTCGTCCGGGTGCATCTGTCAACTCGTCCCAATACCCGACAAGGTTGGTGAAGTCGACGCGCATGTTAACAGTCTCATCTCTCTTGACGAGATGGAAGTTGTAGTCAAAAGTCAGCTTATAGACGGGATTCACGTTTCCTGTAAGCGATCGAGCTTGAACATGGTGCCTTGGGAGATCGAATTCTGGCTCGGCCAGGCCAAGTGATACCACTCGGGCATACGGGCCTTCTCCCAAATCGGAAGGGAGTCGGATGATGGTGTCTGGAGCTCCATTCAACCATAACCTTCGACATTCGGGCGAAGTTTGTTTGTAGTTGCAGTAGATATAAACAGTTTCCTCTGAGTGATCAAATGTAGAATCAATCATGGTTCGGTTGGTCGTCAGCATCGATCTGGTCTTGCGAGTCTCCACTTGACGTCTCGCGATCGTTTGGCTCGTCGGAAAGTCGTTGTCGAGCGATCCCGGTGGCCCATCCAGCATAACAAATCCGTAAGCATCATCATCCGGTTTGTCGCTCCCAGGAGCTTGGGACCAATCCAAGTTATTGTTTCGGTATTCTTCATCGTAATTCCACAACACATCATCTTGAGGAGTATCGTAGTAATGTTCAAAGAGATATTTTGGATCCACTGGCCACTTGTCGCTGTAGACGCTTGGTGGATCACAACAATAGGGATAATCTTGGCTGAAGCCCGGGGGGATTGCGACACCGTTGCAGTCAATGCCCGTGTTTGTCGGATTGATTGCGCCGGGGATCGGCGGTTCTTTTGCTTGCGTGACCTGAGTCTGCTTATTTGAGCACTGCTGTGGCTCACAAATTAGCTCCGGATCAAACGGTGCGCTACCGCCGAGTTGGACTGGCTGTGGGTTGTTCGACCAATTGCAATGACTGAATCCTTTTCCTTTGGGACAACAGAACGCTCGTTTGAAGCGATCATGCAATGTCGACCCAGTAGAACCGTCCAGCGGAGATATGTAAGAGGAAGAGCACCAGTCACCGTTGTCTTGATCATATCGATAGGTTTGGTATTCGAAATCATCTGGACCACAAGAGGCGAGAGTACTGGGACTTAATGGGCCTTGACAAGCCGTCCAGAAGCAATCATCAATGACCTCTGTCGAGTCGCAACATAGAGCACGGTTACCGGTGTAGCAGCTTCCTTTCCCTTTGTAGCCGGTGTAGGTGTCGGTGTTCAAAAGATATTGGCTGTCGCCACAAGAGCCACTGCATCCAAATTCACCGCTAACAGGCGCGCCACTCCATTCACAATTCTTTGGCATCGAGTTGATTGGACAGCAGATGAAGCGATACCAACCTGTCGAGCAGTCACCGTTGAGTTGAAAGCCAGGAGCTTGAAGCGGAGCATGCGCAGTTGAAACGGCCGAAGTCCCAGATGGGCAGACCTGGTCATGTTGCTTCTGACCATCTGAGCCATCGGTGCATGTCGGCGTGACGAAACAATTCTGTCCAGTGTAAGCACCAAACGCCAAGGATAACGCAGTCGCAGTTTGGTCATCTAGATTGCCACCTTCTAGTTGACTGGAGGAAAAGTCACCAAGAAGTCCCTCCAGAGCGTCGTGGCCTTGTGTATCTTGATCGAGTGCCCATATCATCAAGCCGGTGAGGCATCTCAGGGAAAGGAACTTCTTCTTGTCGAAAAAGGATTGCTCGTCATCGTAGGAGATCCACTGGTTGCCGTCGTACACGTTGTATTTGACAGTCGAGGTTTGGTCGTAGTATGTTTGCGTGCTAAGTGAGTTGTTTCGAGAGCTGACCTCACTGTAAGACAAGATGCCCCCGGTGTTTGTGCATGTCCCTGGAAGACCGGAAGTCGAGAATGTGCAACCGGGTTGAAAGCAAGATGCATCGTTCAAGGTGTATGATCTTCCGTAGAATGCGAACCCTATAACAAGCTTTGCGGGATCAATATCGTTACGCCAAAGCAATTTCAGACCCTCGTCAATTTCAGTGATGTTGGTATGGCCCTCTATGTACGGACCCGTGTACTTGTTGTGCTGGTCCCACATACCATGCTGCATACCCAATCAGTCTTTGCGCATTATCTCATTGTTTACCATTGCAAAACCTACCAGATCGTAAGACATTACGTTGAACCACGACACGTATTTTTGAAGGCCGGAGATATCAAAACCTCGCAAATACCAGTAGCTCGTTGGAAGCGTAATGGTGGCCTGCCATCCAGCGTTTGCTTGCTGAAAAGCATCTCGAATCTCAGACATGAGAAAAACGTAGTTTTTCGTGTCTGCTCGGGAACCACCTCGGTCAGGTGCCGCAGGATACTCCCAGTCGATATCGACACCATCGAGTCCGTATTTTTGCAAGAATGACACTAGAGAATTGATGAAAGTCTGCCGCTTGTGGTAGCCGCTTACCACTCGTCGCAGTCAGTGACAATCGTCTTCCATCGTCCCAAGAGTTACATACTATCCGAGAACAAATTTTGGGTCGGAGGGTCGTTAAAAGACCATCCCCCAACAGCAATGTTCACCCTCAGATTGAGGTGGCGACTTTTCAGAAAAGTCACACGCGATATCAAGCCCCCAACGTCGTCGATAAGGTTGAAAGAGCTATCGAACAATACAAAGGCGAGATTGATGTGCGTGAGGGGCGCCAATTCAAGGTCTTCAGGGTAAACTTTGTCGCAGGGACGATCGTCCAGATTGAACAGCTCATAGTATCCGATACGACGCTCATACGTCATAGCATCCGTGTTCTGTGGGCATGATGGAATTCTTTGGGTGCACGAGGTTTAGTAAATCTTTCTGGAACGAGAAAAGAGAAGAATAGATCTGTTCACCTAGGCTGTCCGCAACCGTTTCCGAGACCAGTTTTCTGGCAGCCGTCTCCGCAGAAATCGTCAGTCGTGCCACAGTAGCCATATTGACTTTACAAGGGAGATCGTTAGCGCAAGCACGCAATCATAGGAATGAAACCTTGCCTGCAGCAGACATTGAGCGGGCAATCTTTTGTCTCAGGCGGGGCATATTGTCCACATTCTGCTTTAGCATCGCAGTTGCTCTGGCACCCGGTCCCACAGAATTCTTGACCGAACCCACAGTTTCCACTCGAGCTGCAGCATCCTTGGTAGCAGGGGCTCGTAGCTGAGCATGTAGATAGGTCGTTTTGGGCTTTAGCGACATCGGAATAGGTCAAGAAGAGCGCAAAAAGTAAGGAGCAAAGCATGGTGTAGGGATTAGGTATCTGAGCCTCAGTCTTGACGGTGGAAAGTAGGAAAGATAAATGGGAGGGTTGGACTGGCAGACATGTAACAGACTTAACTTGAAGTGATGGATTTAGGAGTACACTCTGTGATCAACAAGCACTAAAGGGAAGCTCAGAGCTTCTCCAATGCCTCTGGCAGACATGCAGCGGACATTGACCGGCTTAGTAGATCGTCCAGCTAGCGGTGAGATTGATCCAACGTATGAGAGTCCGAGACTTCTCCAGGTGTCTCCATACGGAAATTTTAGCGACAAGAGAAGCAGCCACTTCCAGCTCTTTGATGCCGACTGCCCCATGTTCAAGGCAGGCCAAGGAGGAGTCTGGCCAATGAAGACTTGAATGGACAAAAGTTGGTTACTTAGCAGCTGCATTCTCCCGTGATGGAAGCCTTGGCGGGGCGGGATTAGAGGCATGAAGGAAAGACGGAGAATTTCAGATTATGTACGGCCGTAGGGAACGCACGAGTGGCCACCGCCGTCGGAGAACAGTCCCTGAAAGGTTCTGACCATACCTTTCTATACTCGAAATTATAATAATAGAGTCCGCTCCGTAGTTACAGAACATACGCTTTCTCAAAAAAGAGTTAGTCTTCGTATCAAATAAGATGTCATGATTGCTGTCTGAGGGTCTCTTCATCATAGTATGATCAACAACCCAGTCTGTCGGTGGATACCGGTCCCCTGCATACGCATATACTGGTTTTTTGTCGGGCCAGGTAAGAGAAGGAAAAACGGGTACTCATTGTGAACCACGTTGCAAGTGCCGAGGAGACAGACGTGCATCATGGGACCTGCAGACGTGTTGGATATGCAGTGGAGAAAGTGATGTGAAGCAGAACAGTCCAGATACTTCGTGGTGCCAGCCGATGCTGAGCATAATGAGTGGACCGTGCAACCTATTGGCAACAATTTAAGCCTGAGGGTCTTCTACGAAATGCGCCTTCCCTCTGTTGGTAAAGCGTCGGACATGGCCGCACCCGCTTAAACCTTGCGGGTATCACGGCTCACAGCTCGGCTCCCTACGAGCATGCGCGCGCCCATCTCTACAAGAGCTTAGAAATTGAATACATTATGGCCGTAGAAGGATCCTCCGAACGCGACTAATGATGTTTTTTCCATAACATCAGGTCGTGGCTAGAGTGTTTAGTGTTATCTTTTCGAATGACGTCCATGCATGCAACCCTGGGAGAGCTGGTTGAGCAACGTTGATATCATACTGAGACCGAAGTCGGTGAGAGCTTGGCACTTGGACCGTTATTGACAGTGGCAAGCGAGCGTCTGTGTTAGGTGAAGCGCTAATTCTTCAGGAAATCAAGGTGTCTTTCAAACTGGAATTTCGGATCCTCCTCAACAATATTGGTCTCGCATATATCACGGCGACAATCAGGCGACCTGCCTTAGCTGCTAATATTAATCTAGATGAGAACCTGCCGGATGCTTCCGCAAAGGGATAGCATCACCCGAGAGATGACACCACCCGATCACGGCTATATGTTGTTCGCTCTGGAAAGTCTCGCTCGGATCGACCTTGCATCCGGTGGTTTTATCTTCCATTACATGTCTCTAGTCCGCCTGCTGCTTTCCTTGTCTCTTGAAGTTGAGCGGCATCAAATACCTTATTTACTAGAACCCCACACTCCCCCTTTCTGACAAGTCCCAATGTTTTCACAATTCGATGTGGCTCGGCTTCTTCTAAGTCTACAATTTCTTGTCCCAAGAGCCGCCTCAGTGCAGCTGTGGTCCAGTCCTGATGCACTGCCTCCAAGTATGCCTTCTGGTTGCCGCATCGCTTTGAGCCAGAACATCAGTTGCTCTCCAGCTCTCGTCTCTCCGCAGTTTGCTGCCGGCGGACGGGCATTGGATCCGACCACATTGGGTCAATACTGTACAACATTGTGCTACCAATCTCTGCAGGTAAACTCATAGACCATGAGCATACTTCTATCCCTATTCCTTGCTAATCAGCGTAGACTTTTAAAACAAAAGTGGATGCACAATGCGGCGATACCAATTACCAGATGTTCGCCAACAGCACGCTAAGCCAATCTGGAGCTTCCATCGCAGATCCGCTGGCTTGGGCATACAATGTCATTTGCGTACAAGATAGGTATATTTAGCCTCGACCGAATGCTTTATTTCAAGTTCAATTGAGACAATTCCTTTAGTACCGGCTTCTGTCTTCCCTCGCTTTTTAATGCCACCAAGACCCTCTGCTCCGATTGCTCCCTGAAATACGGGGTAGCAATGTTGGGCTCTGACTATGGTCGAAATCGCATTCAGCCGAGCGCATTTTCGTCGCTCCTCTCATCATGTTCTATCCCTGCGTCGGACTATCCGTACACCTACTGGCCGACACCAAGCACGGTCAATCCATTGTGAAATCAACTTCATCCTCCATGTTTCAGAGATCCTACTAACATTAAGGCAGTATACCAACATCTGCCCCTTCGACGAATTGCACTGGGAAAAAGTACACTATCAAGGCCAATGACACCTGCCAATCCATCTCGCAAGCAAATTCCATCGCAACAGATCGGCTGATTGCTGCGAATAATATCGACTACAACTGTTCTTCGCTCATTCCAGGTGCTACTCTCTGCCTTGGTCCTTCATGTGCTTTGCAAAAAGTGCTGCAGAATCAAACATGTCAAGATATCACCACCAATCAAGCCTTCACATTTGTACAACTGATCGCGTGGAATCCGTAAGCTCTTTTCCCAATGAACGATTTGTTCCAAATACTCACACACTTTCAGAACAATTCACTTGAACTGTGATAACCTTGATGTGATGGTTGGTAGGAGCATATGTATCTCGTCGGTTGCCCGATCAATCAAATCACAAACACCACGTGTTAAGCTGACTTGGCAGACCCCCTGGCTCTTCAGTCTACAAAGCAACCCTCATGAACACAAGTACAGTAACCATGTAAGACCATACTCGTTGTCGCCGGCATAACCAAGCTCAAAGTGCCAGATCCTCTATGTTTCCAGGCCCCTACGTCTCTGGCTCCATCAATTCAAATCCTCCAGACGCCACAACTTCCTGGTATAATACTCAGACCACCTTTCCTCCCCCAGTTGTGACAACATTCATTGCAAACCTTACAACAGCAAGTCTCGTAGCAGCACGCACTAGCTTTTGCCCCATCACGCCCGATGACTTTCTCAACGGTCTCTATGAAGAGGATCTTCCAGAAGACTGCGATGCTCTCATCGAGCCATACTGCTGGCCCGATCCAGATGCACCAACACCTTCATCAACGAGCTTTCCCGCCAGCTGTACACCTTTCTCGGGAGATTCCATCACGACATCAAATACCCCAGCCGTGGTAACTACTTCCGCAAATCCTCTGCCATCTCCGCTGGAGCCGGGCACAATCGCCACCTGCAAAAAGTTTCATAAGGTCTTTACGGGAGAGACTTGCTACAGTATTGCAAACAATTACAAAGTGTCTCTCGATCAGGTAAACGAAAAAGTACTGTCATACATTGATACACTTTGCTAATTGAAAAGTTAGTTCTACACTTGGAACCCTTCCGTCGGCACGACTTGCGCGAAATTGTTTCTAGCCTTCTATGTGTGTGTCTCAGCGTAGTAGTGGTTGTAGGGCTGCCTGTCTCCATGGTTTGTGGGAGTAGTCACCGAGGTGGAATGAAAACTTTCGAGATGCTGGCGGCTCATCTAAGAGGGGGTTTCTTGAGCCATCATACACGTGGAACTAGTGGTATGTATGCTTTGCTTGTAGAAAGGCCTCTTCCAACAATGCCTAGCTCGTCTCATCTCCCGAGCTCTTTGTGACTCCTCTCAACTCAGCTCTTCATGCTTCAAGAGCGCTTCCCATGCCTCATCGTCTTCATAATCGCTTCCAGTCTTCCCGTTCTGCCACTCCGCAATGTCACCCCAAGCCTCCTCTAGCCAAAACCCACCCATCTGCTCCGCCTCACTAGCACAAACCCTGTTGCTCCTCACCACCCTCCCGAACGCATCCACGAAAACCAACAACAATAGTCCCTCCTCCTCCTCCTCCTCCAGAGCCTCTTCATCCTCAACGATGAGATAAGCAACCACGCACTCCGCCTGCACATGTGACCGTAGCACCTCTAGAATCCGTGGCTGCACCTCCTCCTCGGGTAGAAAAGCTCTCAGTCTCTCCATCGCCTCTGCAAGCTCATCCGTCCCCTCTGCCACGTCACCCACAGCAACGGCCCCATGCTCAAATCTCTTCTTTGCATTCCTGAACGCCTCCACATCCTTCGCAATGCGTCTCCTATACCCCAGCCACCTTTCATCCCCTTCCCAATCAGCCACAAGTAGCTCGGGCAGTAGCTCCAACAGACCGTTCCACTTTCCCTCCAAGCGGCCATAGAGTAGTCTATCGTCAAGTAGCCTCTCCTCCTTATCGACAGCATTGTCAAGGTCAATGTGTGAGATCAAGGCCGCGTGTTTGGCATCGCTGCCAGGACCATAGAACGTGCGAAGCCAGACGTTGCCAATTTGACCGGGATCGGTGGCTAGGTGGCGGATGGAGAGGGGACGCCAAGCTTTCAGGAAGATCAGTTCCTGGGGGCCTAGAGCCGGAGGAGGAGGCGGTGGATATCGCTGAGACGGATCAGAAGGTTGCTGAAAGCTGGACGCGGGAGAAACAGGAGGTGACGAATTATGGGAACACGAAGCAAGGTACATACGGCTTGTCTCTGACCGGACTGAATGTATGAACTGATGAGAATTTTGGCTTGCTCAGATGGTGGGAGTGGGGATTGAGGGTTGTAGTTGTTCTAGGAGATGATGAATTAACTGATGTCCAATGAAAATACAACCAAGTGCGTAGCAGGCGATGCTGAGAGGGAGTGGTACCAGTAAGTAGATCTCAGCTGGAATTGTGCCCCAAGGAGGTGATATTTCCTCGCTGGAGCTTGAATCCACGCTCTCGTTGTCGCTCATAGTTGTTGGCGCGGTAGCCTGAAGATCTGTGATCTGGCTGGACTTGATATTTTGAGAAAGAAACTTCGAGGGGCTATTGATGAGAAGTATGCAGGCAAGCGGAAGAGGTCACGTGGATACGAAACGAGGTAAAATATTCTCGGCAGGGTCATTGCATATACCTTTTCCGAGTTCTATTTCCGGTATGGTGATTGTTCTACATGTTTCACTCACTCATCTCAAAGACAAGGTATGTGTGATAGTTCTGTATTGGAGAAAGCCATCGTAATATATTACGGCTAACTCGGCAACGATGCTGTAAAGTAATACGTACCTTATGTATTTGGTTTTAACATTGCTCAGCCTTGGGTGCATCGGATGTTTCAAAATGCCCCACACTACAACATTTACAACCATAGAAAACAAACATCCGTGCAAGGTCATGAGAGGTAATCGAAAACATATTTGCTGGAACTATTGCAACTGATCATGATGCCGTTCCTGAGCCTGTCTTTTGTTCTACTCGGATATGCTGATCGAAGGTCGGCCCACCAAGCCTCTTCCTTCACGTTTGGCCATACTTCATCAACAATCCCACGGGAACGAAACTCAACGGTGTTAGTATCGCAAAAAATGAACCACGCCCAGCCATTTCCATCCGCCTTGGCATGTGGAATAGCAAAACAATCGACCACAAAAGTCGGCCCAGGTTGAACAGAACGCCGCACTCCATGATCTGCGACTTATAGCAGTTGGAGACATATGAATAGCAACGTGTTGCAGACATCTGCATCCCAAGCCACCAGTCGCTACTCCCTCAAGTGGTGTACTCCGTGTGTCTTACGCTGGATGCAGGATCTGTATACAATCAGTCCCGCCAGCATCGCAAGCGCAGTCAACGTCAGATAGAGTCTGACCTCCACTCTCCGCATACCGCTGTGCCGTTTAACGTCCATGTATAAAATGAGATCCAAAGTACGCGCCATAACGAGTTCTGCCAGGTTGGATCCAACGATCAGCGAAGTACCAAGACAGAGTCCTGTCCTGCCGGCGTCAAACATGCACACTCTGTTGTAATTGTCGGCAATCGTGATAGCCTGGAATGTGTTGACGGAGGTATAGCTTATTTTGTAATACACAGCTGAGATGCTGACTGAGAGCCAACGCGCCATGAAGTAAGTGTGTATCAAAATTGAAGGCTAGAGTGTCCGACCGGGGACAAGCTTTTCACTGAAGTTGAACACAATGTGGAAGTAGCTTCTTTCTTGTATATGATTTGCGAGGAAGTCGGGGTCGTACGAGAACAATGTCTAGGGGAAGAAGAAGATCGCTACCATAAGCAAACTCCCGTCGCCGAGAGCTGGGACCCAGAAGTACCGTTGCCACCCAGCCGCTTGCGCCAGAAAACCATCGCTTACAATGGGGACTCCCGAGTATCCACAATACTAGAGTATGTTGACTCGCTTTTATTATGTAGATTGCTCGTCCAAAAAACATTGCCAGGTCGGATTTACCAATCCAGCAAGGTGTGTCTGATCGGGGACGTTGCACATGCGATGACGCCCTATCTCGTTCCAGGAACTGCAATATGGATCGAGGGTGTCTCAGTCCTCCGTGGACTGCTAGAGTATTCTCCCAAGAAGATGACGTTGCATGAGACCCTACAAATGTATGAGAAGCTGCGAAACAAGCGAACCTCCAAGATCACCGTGCATCAACCAACTCGCGACATCTCACACAGATGGAACATGGTCCAGAGCAAGAAGCACATGAGTAGCATCTACTGACGCATCCAGGTATCTAAGAGAGACATATCAATATCGTATCACGGAAGAGGATTTTGGGTGAGCTGTTCTGTTATGATGCTTATGCAGTCTTGGACGAAGCAACTCTCGAGCACTGTGGAAAGGTAAAGCATGCGATTGGACCCGGCGCACTCCAAGAGGAGATCAATGTTTGCGGCGCTGACCGGCCTCAATCGAATGATAAGATACTAGAGCACTGATCGATTCGCTGTCTTTTTCCGCGACAGACGCATTACAATTGGAAGAACGGACGGCACCAGGAGGTGGAGCTCGAGCGATGAAGTTTGCTGTTGATCGTTTGTACTCTCTTTGATCAGAATCAGGGCTCCTTGACTTTCTAGTGTCAAATATTTCACCACAACATCCATTAACTACTTAACGGAGTACTTAATTTGAGAGTTCTTGGGATAACCACCTTGAGGAAGATACGACTCTCTACCACTTAGACGTGAAGAAATCTACTGCTTGCAGACCTATTGAAATTACGACGGATACAGTCTCTCAAACCAGCTTTTTGTCCAACTAAGAATCCTTGAGAATGCGTGAACACTTGTTGCTCTTCGTGATCTGGGAAATATAAGAACTCCGCCAAATCGGACTCAGTACGCTCTTGGTCTTGTCGCTGACTCTAACGAGCATGGCTCGCTTACAGAGACCAGCTTAGAGCCGAAGGTTTCGCTTCTCTTCGATTCTAGATGAAGATAGCTAAACGTTTGTTAGTGATGGCTACATCAATTCGCTACCGCTTCACTATTTGGCTCGAACAAAGAAGCAGATTGTGTCTTTCTGAGATCACAGCGATGAGTCTCTTGCGCTCGTTGACACATTTTACAGTGTGGTAAACAAGCAACACTGCTGTAAGCTTGAAATTTGTTGCCTGAATGATCCATCAACTCAAGGTATCTTATGATGTTTTCATGGTGGTATAACACGTGGGACCGCAGGAGGACTGTCTGGAAGTCTTACAATAAGCCAGTACCCAACAAAGAAGACTACTTCATGCGACAGCAACACTCAGCGTTCCCACTGTTTCGACACATTCGCATGACACTTATCTCTTCCTTTAAATCCTCATCCTCAAGCTCTGAGACTCTCGAACTCCACTCGCCGCTGAAACACTGACCCCACCCCAACGCCTACAACCACAGCAATGTCCAACATCTTAAGAAGAGTCTTGTCTTTCGGAAGTCCCAGCAGAGCAACATCCACATCAACTCTCGAGGACGAGGACACCATGTTCGACGTGCAGGAGCCAGAGCTCGAAGAAACGGACCCCATCCCCAATTTCGCGGAAGAAGGCATCACCGACCACACTGAAGTCCTTATAGAGTAAGCCACCTGCGGTCTCTCCCCACTTAAACCCTAATTAACACCTCCTCCAGACTCATGCAGGGACCTTCAGTCTCCGTCCACGTCGGCAAAGCAACGAAACCCATCACGATATCCAAACGTCTACTTATGTACCACTCCCCCGTCGCTGCCCGCCTGCTCGCCAAGCAGACCACTCCCGATACGCTCGCACTACCAGGCCATGACCCTTTCGCATTCACGCACATCTACCGCTGGATGCACCAAGACAAACTCGACATCCTCCCCTACTGCACCCGCACGGGCACCTCTCCCACCGCCATCCAAGACGCCTGCACCCTTCTCTGCCGCATCTTCGCCGCGGCCCGCTACCTCGACATCACCCCCATTCACGGCCTCGTCTTTCAGGAACTCCGAGCCGCGTTCGCGATCACTCGCGATGCGGGGAAGAGCACGCCTGTGGCGCCCGGCACGGTGCTGGAAGTGTGGAGAGACGGTGGGGAAGGGTGCGGGTTGTGGAAGGTGGTGTTGGAGGAGATGTGTGTTGCGTTTACGCGGAAGCCGATGGCGGTGTTTGCGGTGTATGATGAGTGTTTTGAGCGGATTGAGCCGTTCCGGTTGGCGGTGGGGGAGGCGATGACGGGTAGGATCTTTTGGGGGAGCGAGGTGGGTGGGGTTAAGGTTGAGGAGATCTAGGCATAGTATGGATGGATGTTGATGAGCTGGGGTGAAGGTTGGAGAAGGCGTCGGGAAGACTCTGTAAGATGAGGCACAGCCGTGGTAGGAAACCTATTACTTGAAAATACAAGTGGAGCCCATGTGTTCTCCCCGTAATCTTAAGCGAAGGCGTCCCAAGACCTTGCACTTGTTCCTGGCTGGTAGACCAATCGGCGAAAAGTCTCGTTGACGCCCAGCTCGTCGAGTACGTCTGTACTTCGTTGTCTTTTCAGGCGTCAGCTACACCCTCGGAGTGTCAAATAGCGGTGCTACTGTTTCCTATCGTTACGGTGTGTATCCTTTTTCACAATTCGGGCTACGGAGAATACGCCACGATCACGGGTTTTCCGACTCGGGGCTCAGAGGCACAGCACGCCTACAGTCCTTTCCCAAGATCACCATCTTCGAGGACATTAGATCCTGCAGCGGGGTCAGTATTAACAACAAACGAGATATTGAACCGCCTTTGATACCCCATAGACTCCAGGAGGGACGTTTCCGAAGGAAGCAGTGGGGAACTACAGGAGGACATGGTCACGGCGATGGCCATTGGATGACATCATAGTCATACCGCTTTGGCAACAATCAGAGTCCGTCCTTGGACGTAGACTGTATCTCTGTTTATAAGGACCGATCAGCGCATCTCAGAGGCAGAACCCTGACTTCACACAAAACCTTTCAATGTCCTCCCACCACCGAGACTGCAGCAATGACACTTCTTGGCTTCCAGTGTTAGTGACCTAGGATTCCCTGCAAACAACGGATCAACCAAGTACATCAACGGATTGTAACATATCTGAGGATAGTCAGTTGAACGGCAAAGGCGGGTCTTGTTCAGGTTCTTGAACATCAGAAGCTTCGGCGAGTGCAACAACGAGCTTGCTGCCGCAGAAAAAACCCAAGCGCAGCATTGGTCAGTCTCATGGACGGCATGTCAATCGTACGACCACCTCTGCCCTCCGTCCACCATACAAGACGTTACTATCGCGATGCCAGCGATCTCCATGCTAGACGAGGTCAACATCACCGCTGGTGCGGGGAGGGAAGCCACCAGCCGGCCGCTGAGAACTCGGCAGACCGGAGCAAGCGTTCCCTCCTGTCTAGGAAAGCGGCGAGGGCATTCGAAGACTTCGCTAAGGCTTTTCGTTCGTGGGTATACTCTCTTCTAATCTATTCTGACCTGTAGTATCAATCGAGCTACCTAGCTACACTCTAGGCCAGTCCGAATCACCGCACTATCTTCCCATCCCCTCCCATCCTCTCCCATCCCATCCCCTCCCTCCCTCCCTCCCACCCATATCAAACGCAACAAACCCCTTACCCCCATCCCCTCTCTCCGGCTCTCTCTGCCGCAAACTGACTCGACAGCCTCCCTCCGAACGTCGTCATGAGGCCAAGAGCAAATGAAATTAAAGCAGGTAGGTATCGTTTTCGTATCTTTCAACAGCAGGAGCAGGAGCAGGGGCAGGTAGGCGGTGGAGTTGGATGGGTGGTAAGAGGGAAGAGAGGGGGGGATTGTTGGGGGGTGGATATGACAGGAGCGGTAAGGGGAGGTGTGTACTGATACACAGGATCGATGTGAGGTTGGCTAAACGGGTGGAAGGGAATACAGGGGAGATGGTTACTCGAGGGTCGTATGGTGCGAAAGTGTTACTAGACGAAGATGGATATCGAGATCAAGGAGAGGAACATCTGCCTCGCAACGGGAGACAATGGCAGCGAATGAAGTGGTCAAGTTGGAGCGGCGATAATGATTACAATTCATGAAACATCCGATCTAACTACTTCTCAGCCGCTTCCAACCTCACTCACATCAACAAGGCAATCAGCTCCGCCGCCCTCTCCGCCGCCACCATGACGCCGAACTGCGGATTGACCGTGAACGGCTCCACGATGGAGGCATCCACGACGTTGAGATTCCGCATCCCGATGACCGTCGTGTTCGCATCCACGCAGCGCCCCAACCGGCACGAGCTGGACCAGTGGTTGACCTCGCCCTCCGTGTACGCCGACGGCGTCGTGATGTACGTCAGGATCTGGGCCGTGGACGCCGCGGCCGGGATGTTGAGCGGGGTGAGGTTCGACGCGGGCAGGGCGGCGAAGATGGCGTGGATGAAGGTCGCGATGTCCTGGGCGTCCTGCGGGTCGCTGAAGTAGACGCCCTGGGGCCCGGGGACGAAGTCGGCGTCGAGGACGACGGTGCCGGAGGATTTCAGGCCCGAGGTGCCGTAGATGTTGAGGGTGACGGTTTGGTCGGTGGTGTAGCCGTCGTAGCCGGCGGTGCCGATGGTGCCCTGCATGCCGGCTCGGGTGCCGTCGGCGTGCGGGACGTAGTCCCAGAAGACGCTGATTTCGGAGGCGAAGGAGTATGGGCCGGAGCGGCTTTTCAGGTACAGGGAGGCGTCGGCGGGGATGGGGTCGTTGTAGCTGTAGGTGTAGGATTGGACGGAGGGGCTGGAGAGTTCGATGAAGGTGTTTGGGTTGTCGAAGAGGCCGGCGCCGACGGCGGTGTTGTTGATCCAGGCGGAAGCGGGGAGGCCGCCGAGCTTGTTGGCTTGTTGGAGGCGGACCAAGACGGCCGGGTCGCCGATGCCGGATTTCATTAAGAGCTCTGGGGACTTCAAGGCGCCGTTGCTGATGATGACTCTTCCGTTGGGAGATAGAGAAATGGTGGAGATGACACCGCTCGCGTTGGCGACGACGCCTGTGGCTACACTGCCTGTGCGAAGGACGCGGTTGACCCAGACGCCGCTTTGCAGGTGGAAGTTTGAGCGGGTCAAGGCCGTTTGCAGGTAGCTGATGGCGGGCCCGCCGCGCTGACCGTTCTTGTAATCGTATATGGGATGGCCAAAGACTTTGGTCTTGTTTGCAGAGTCTGTATTGATGGCGACTTCAGAATAGCCGGCACCGGTCACAAGCCATTTCTTGGCCGCCGTATACCCGGATTGCTCATACAGGATGTCATTCTCGGAAGTGATGTCGCTGGAGGGCTGCGTCTGATAGAGCCGGTTGATGGAAGGCAGGACATCAGCATACTTCCAGCCCGCAGGGAAATAGGTGTCAAAATCCGATTCCGGTGGCTGAAAAAACAATCCAGCATTGATGGCGCTGGAACCGCCGATGGAGCAACCCACGAAAGCGTTCACCTCGTTGGGGCCACAGGTCAAATTGGTTGGACCGGAAAAAATGGTATCATAGAGCCCGGGTACGTCGACACGGCTCAAGTTTGTGCCGACCAACCACTGCGGTCTCTCGGTTCCTCCGGTGATGCCGTAGGATGGCCCGCCTCCCTCGAGGAGGAGGACTTTCTTCGTTCCGCTCTCACTCAGCCGGCTCGCGACGATGATCCCCGCGGGACCGGCACCGACTACGATGACATCCCATAGAGTCGTCGTCCATGATTGAGGCTGAACAGGAGAGGCACAGACCAAGCCAACAGCTTGAAGGAGAAGGAGAGAGCACAACACGGCAGCCATTGAATTAGTTCTTTATGTATGAGACTTGGTTTGGTACTCAGATGGATTGCGGACAGGAGATTTGATGAAGGTAGAAAAAAGGCTCAATATATAGAGAACAAATGCGTCAGTGATCAGACTGTCATATGTAAAAATAGAGAGCAGCAAGACTAGATTTAATCAGCTCATGCAGTCAGCTTCGGGTATTATAGATGGTCGAGGTCAGACGGGTGTAAGCGCATCCAGGCTATATGGGGCAGGTGGTGTGGGGGGGGCCCCCCATGCTTAAGAGAGCAGTAAGGGTCCATTAACAGACAGACAAAGATATTCGATATCTGCTAGAAAGGCAGACAAGGCTGAAGGCTGAAGGCTGATGAATAAGGAGATAGTGAAGGAATATGTACACTGTTACTGTAAGTAATTAATTAATACATTAATTAATTAAATGAATGGACTACTGCAAAGCTACTTATTTTTGGTCGGATTGGAAAGCATGTTGCATGACGTTTTCCGAGTCTGGACAGCCGAAAAGCCTTTCGCTAAAACCTGCAGCGGTCCACGGGAGGGTCCGGACTTTTGCTGACCGTCCGGCTCCGCCTATAAGGACCACTTCAAGCTAGGCCACGGCATTTGATCCGTACACAGAGTCAGCATAGCATCATATTGACAATAATAGAAATCATGACCATCATCGAGTATCAAGCGGAGCAACATTATATTTCTCCTCAACATTCAAATTCACCATGAAAGTCAAATGTCTTTTAATTTCTGAAGCTGCTACTCTTTGTCTGAGAGACTGCCGGTGTAGAAGGTTGGACCCCCAGCCACCTCATACACCCATTCACCTCGTCGACCACTGTGGGTCAAATAACAACGTCCCAGAACGTTCGGAAAAATCAATAGTCCCTTCAATATATTAAAACACCTTATTTTTGCTGCACACCACTTATGCATCGCTCCCGTCCATGGATCCAGTCACCACGTCCATCGATAGGTATCCCGTTTATCGATGAGACTTAGGGAGTATGGAGTAGATGAATGAGGTCACCATCCGTGGACGTAGTGAGTAACTCATACCCGACAAAAGCGCCAGGAGACCGGGACTCTACTGGCCTAAGGAGGAACGCTGGCATGATTGTAGTACTGACGGAAAACTTCTGGTGTCCAGCCATTAGGAGCTGCGCCTTTTATTTGGTCCGTCATATTCCCGACCGTCGGCGGGCTATCCACAAACATAGAGAACCCCCCTCACGCCGAGCTCCAGTCGCACCAGACTTGCAAGTGACCAAGGCCGGCTCCAGGGACACTTATCATCCGAAGAAACGCAAATAATATAAGTATGTACGTAACTATGTGCGCAGCCGATGACGCCGTCGAGGTGTGAGAAGATGACGAGAATGAAGACGAAGGAGTCGGGGGCACGGCACACTGCTGTAGACACTCAGGATCGTTTGGAAGACGAGGAAGTGGAAGTGGGGGCTGTCTTTCGTCCACGGAGTAAGACCATCTCATCCGTGAACAAGGTACGTAATCTGGAGCCTGGTTGGCCCACGAGAGGTATGATAAGGTCTGACGGATTTTGGTACTATACCTCATCCATGGACGGGATTACCCATCCACGGAACCAACATCGTGCGACACATTCTCTCAACGAAGATCGACAACCTCAGTCTGACAAACCTAGCGCCTGGTCAGGATCGCACGCATTTTGAAGGTTCGGCTCTACGTACCCTTGATCCGAGCTCTTGGGAGAATTGGACCGAGGAGATTGTTCAAGGTATTTGCGGTCGTAGTGTTGGCCGAAATATCGATACTTCCATCCCCAGGATCCTGCTCCGCAACAACGGTCCTCCCGCTCGCGAGGTCCGCTTGAACTTGTCGGTCGTAGGTGGAGCCGGAGGCGTAGAGGAGGAGGGCGAGGCGGCCGTGGTCGCCTATGCGCCCGCAATGCATGCACGTCAGCAGTGTAAGAGCCAGCTGGAGAGTCAAGGGTCGCGAGATTCACCTACCGGTGAGGACGTATCCACCCGAAGGGATGTGGAATCCGCCTTCGGTTTCTGTGGGGGAGACGCATTGGTTGTAGATCAGGGAGCCGCTTTCGACGATGTCGGCCCAGGTGGTGGTGTCGTATGTGATAGTGTGGTCGACGAGCTCGATAGCCAATAGCGCCAGTTTGCAACCCCCTGACGGAGTTCCAGAGTCATTAGCGTGTACTCCATTTCCTCCAAGCTTGAACCAAATCATCACTCACCATTCGACCTCAAAAACGGCAACCGCTGCTTCCTTCGCCATTGGGTCGTAAGTACGCTCGGCGGCCTTCGGCGTAGAGGAAGAGAGAAGAGATGACTGTTTGCGTCGGAGGGGATGCCATCGGGGCCGTGAAACATTTGCCAGCAGGCTTGTTGTTGGGGCTGCCCGTAGAGCTCGCTGCACATGGCGGAGGCGGCGGAGGGTGGAAGGGAGGAGAGGAGGGAGAGGAAGAACAAGGTTAAGATGAGGGCAAGGGGTTGGACTGTGGAGGGCGGCATTTTGGGGGCTGGGGATGGGATTGCGGAGACTGCTTTCGGAGGAAAGGAAGAAAAGATGAAGAGCTACTTATGAAGAGTAGGTATACATTCCGTGAGGGTTCAGATCCGATCGCACTGCAGTGCGACTGTTTGTAGCATTGGAACATAACGCAGGGACCTTGTCAATGCTCCGGTGGCGACATGCGAAAAGGAAGAAAATATGAAGATCTACTTATGAAGAGTAGGTATACATTTCAGATCCGATCGCACTGCAGTGCGACTGTTGGTAGCATTGGAACATAACGCAGGGACCTTGTCAATGCTCCGGTGGCGACATGCGAAAAGGGACTGCCAATCAACGGTCCGGACCCTGAAATGCTTCCGTGGTTCTCAAACCCGTCTCCAAGATCGTGATGCGGTAAGGGGGCACGTTCCTGTTATCAACAATAACAACCACCTGTTATCTTGGACATGGCGCTCCAATTCGGTTGGAGACACGTTGCTTCGCTCGGTCGGACTCAAATATATTCCCGACAATTGTTTTTTGGCGCTGCAATGGCGAACTTTTGTCTCTCGCGTAGATCCGCAAGGATGTCCATTCGAATTTGCGATAAGCCTGCAAATTTCATGCAACTGTAAAAATCCCGTCGCACCCCCAATTCTGTGTCCCACTACTTACTCGTGCGGTCACAAAGTCCAGCCTTGATTCCAGCTTACCACTATTTACACATGTAGCTTGCTCGAGAAAACCTCCTATAAGCCGTGCCTCCTATGTTCTTCCAATCAGAGCGTGAGATAGCGGACCTTGCAACGGTTCGTCCTGAATGTGCGGGACCTGGTTGAGGAATAGTTCCACAATGGTGGGCCAAGTGGACAGATCGTTTAGCATATCATGTCAACATCACGCACCGCCAAGCACTCGCGTTTGCGTAGCTCAAACAGCCCCAACCGACCATCGAGTCATCCGCCATAATCTCCAATTTTGATTCCATCATGAGTCCGTTCTGCAATCTTTTTTGTGTAGTTTTCAGAGCCATGGCGGCTTGACCGAGAGTGAAGTTGACTCTCATGAGGTTCGTTGGAAGAAGAGAAATCGTCAGATCTGATCCCCACGTATCCACGTAGCGAAGAAGGTGTTTATTGCCGGAGCCATAGACAGGGAGCAGGCCATCACCGTGGTAGGCAATGATGAGGTTTGTAATATCGGCGAGCATGCGAGTGGCGATGTCTGCAAAGCTCTGATCATGTACGGGAAAGGGACCCTTGAGGTCATAGTAGGTCACGGCTACGGCGTCGAGTTCGTCAAAGGTCGTTAGCTGTTGGAGTTCTCTCGACGGTGCAGTTGATGAATTGGCGGCGGAGGAGTTAGCATACTCTAAACCTCTAGTCTTCATGCTTTCGTCTTGAGAGCCACAGTGGAACGCCAGACATCCACTCGCGATTGGAGAACTTGTCTGACTTATGTCACTGAAGACCTCGAAGGTCAACTCCAGGAAGTAAAGGTGATGAGTCAACTCCTGCATACCCCTCAGAACGTCTGCCACTGAATAAACAGGCAGATCATCCGATGCAGTCATCATGAACTGGAGATTCGAAGGTGGATATGAGGTCGCAAAGGTCGAGCTTTTTTGGCCTGAACGCGGAAGGTCCTTGTTTCCATTATTCGTAACAGTCGAACTTGCAATATCTGCCAGACCCAGTACAGCCAAGTTGTAGATCATGGATGGATCAATATTCTGAGCCTTGTTGTCTTTCAGGGTAAGCTGGAGGGTAGTGTGGGATCCTGTTGGCGTGTACTGGAGTGGTAAATTGGTCGTTAACAATTGCCAAATTTGGACAACAGGACTATGCAAAGAGTAAGTATGGCCGTGCGAGAGATGATAGAGTTTATCAGTGCTCACGGGGTTCCAATTCCTGTGTACGATTCCAGGGTAGCAGCCTGCTCAGCACGCGATATGACTCGAGGAGTATTGAGCGAGGATGGAGACGGACCATGTAGCACGAGAGCCTTTGTATGTAATGCAAGCAAGATGATTAGAGCAAGAGGACGCAATGGCGCCAAATGTTCCCCAATAGTCATGTCGATTTGAGAGGGATATAGACGAAAGGACACTCACAGAGATGTACCTGATATCAACCAGTGGTGGCAGAAGACGCAGAAGATCATTGTTGAAAAACCCATCATCGAATAAACTTCTTCATGAATATCCGAAACCGGGTAGTTGCATCCGCAGACCGCGCGTATCAAGATAGGGATTTGCTACACGTCACAGTGGCATTAGTTGAAGCGCGTGAAACGATACATGCGCGGAACACATTGCCACCTCCTGACTCCACTCTTCGCATTTCGTCATAGGCGACTTCATTGATTGCGGAGAGCAGCAAGATTGGCATTTTCGGCGTACCACGCCGATTTCACGTGTTCGCAAAGACCTCGGTTCACTCGAGCAACGTCCGTAGAGTAAGCCCTAGCCCGACGGCTCAAAGAGTACAAGACCAATGAGATCGTGGCAATATCAGTTTCCGATGACAGTTCCTGCCACCATTCATTAGTACGCCGCTTACCCGTGTCACAATGCAGGTATTTCCCCTCAAAGCGAGTAAAATCGATTACACTCACCCTGCAAGTGCCTCCTGTTGGCCCCGACCCAATCATGCAGCCAATCCTTGGAGCCGTAGACGAGAGTGAAAAAGACAACGGAAAGAGTGGTACTCCCACAGACGACCCAGAAATACCCTTGCGTCTTTGCGACATATTGATACCTTTGATGTTCACGCAGAAGGAAGAAGTGGAAAAGAGAGAGGAGAAATTGTAGTCCTAATAAAGGAAAGGAGGATAGCCTTGTTATTAGACTCGGCGAGGGTGGCGAGTTCGATCTGTCTCATGGTGCAGAGCTGAAAGAGCTTAGACCACAAGTCAATATGCTGGCACTAGTTGGACTTGAGCCTAGGAACGTACAGCATGCAAGGAGCTCTTAAGAACTATGGCCAAGCCAACTGCTGCGTGTCTGTGCCCAGTCGAATTTATGCAGAGGCATGGAATAAAGCTTTACATTCAGCGCACGTTACCCAGCTTGGCTCCGATTGCCACCATAGGAAGAACAAAAGAGTAGGCCAGGGGCTGTCATCAAATCTGTAGCGCAGGACTCCCAGGCTTCCAATGTTCCAACAATACCATGGCACTCGAAACGCCCATCTCCACAATACCATACAGACACCTTCAGCAAAGCGCGGATCGGAAAGGAATACTCTGCCGACGTTTTCAATATTGATAGGGTGGCCGCTTGGAATAGATTTTGCTCAACAGAAGCTGTCGGAAGGAACTTTATCGACAAACCGTCGAATAATACCATGTCGGCAATAGCACAAGCACAGTCTTTTTGGGCGGTCTTGATACTGAGAGACCTAATCGTCGAATCTCTTCTTTTCTGGTAGAGACCTACTTTGATTCTTCCAACCCATTCTCTTCATCGATTCCGTACACGAAATGCTGCTATTGATTCTGTCTATACAATGCTTCTGATGAAATTTGAATTGGTCTGGAGTGATGAAGTCTTGCAGTTGTTGGAGCGCAATTGAAAGCATCGGGGTTGTCACAAACTGGCGAGGAATCATCAAGATACATGGGACGTGGGCAGCAACTCCAAGACCAGCCACTATCACGGATTACTGCAGACGTGGAGGATGACTAGCTTCGCTAGAGACAGAGTGAGGACCAATGCCATGTTGAGGACAGGGGTACGCTCCTTCAGCCTGCTCAAAGCTCATCCACAGCTGCCTAGATCTATGAAGGATTTTCCGATACTAATACTGATCTACTGTAGATGAGTAGATGGGTAGATGGCAGATCATGATGAGCCTGGTAGTCTCTTCTTTCAAGCATGAAGCTCAAAAAACAAAGACTCGTGACGTCAGTCAAGTCATAACCTGATCCGGCCAAACATTCACCCGGCCGGACAATCTCGACTTACCAGCATCGTCTTCCCTAATGTCAAAAAGCTGGCACTTGCTGGGAATATTGTTGCCAACGTACCGAAAGAAAAAAAGCTTTGAATGTTCGAAACCATAACATAACACCCACTGCTGAGCAACCGTGTCGGCCACCGCTGGTATGGTGGGTCAAAATACTTGCTTCATCTCTCGAAGTGCCTTCAGGACGGCAACTTCTTCGGGCTTCTGGTGTAAGGTCTGCAAAAACTCGAATTCTTCATAACGGTCTCATCAATCTCGAAAATGGAGCATTTTCCAACGCAGCCCGCAAATTTGGGATTGGGGACTACGCATAGATTGAGATTACCTGTAGAAAATTTCCGATAGGGCAGAACATTATCGCATCCTCGCGTCAGCTCCAGTCCAGGCGCGAAGATGTATTCGAGCTTTACAGCCCAGTCCAGATTTGCGGTCTGCAATATCTCTTAAAGTGTTCGATAGAAGAAGCGAAACCCGCAGCGCGAAGCCAATCAATTTCCACGATGACAAAATTATCGCCCTTTTGGGAATGGAAGAGCTGATTCTTCGCTGTTCAACCTGTGGCCAGAGGAAGACCGCCGAGTTGTCTGAATATCTCTCAATTCCTGCAACCTTGGGATGGATGGATCATCTGAAGAGCTTAGAATTACGCCTACCAGATGCCACGTATGACAACTCGCCCATTGAACACACCCACGACCAGGTCTTCGCAAAGACAATGCAGTTGACAATAACGAAGCTTTTGAGATTGTTACAAATCTCCATTGGAGCCAGAAACAGTATACTACTTCTTCTCGACGCGGTCTCTGGGTTCAAATATCTGCAGATGGGGGATATTATGCTGTCGCAGGGGACGTGGGAGGTTGTCTTCGAAACCCTCAATCAAATTCACGGCCTTTGCGCCTTCACATCTCAGGTGACGCGTGTCTTGGCCATTGAGGGCTGGAGAGAGACTAGCTTTGCCGTTTTGGGAGGCTGCAAAATGAGCTCAATGTCTACGTGGTGTAGGGCGGGTGCCATCCCTGCCTTCGATCCGGACAGCCAGGATTAGGCCAGTCTTCTTCCAAG